CGAGCTCGGACAACTTACTCCTCATAATATCAAGCAATTCAGATTGATAAATCAAACTGTATTCCCAGTCACATACACAGAGAAATTTTATAGTGATGTTCTAAAGAATAGTAAGATGTGCAGACTTGCTTACTTTAATGATATCGTCGTTGGAGCCGTTAGTTATCGGGTAGAGAATGTTGTTGTGAAGAATGTCGATTTGGCTACGGATGATAATAACGGCCAAGCTAATCAAACTGTCAAGAAGTGTTATATTATGACTTTGGGATGTCTTGCACCATACAGAGGCTATGGTGTTGGTACGCTTATGTTAAAACATGTCATTAAGAGCTGTTTAAAGCACGGTGGTATTAAAAGTATTTATCTACATGTCCATGTTGGTAATGAAGGCGCAGTAGCGTTCTACAAACGTTTCGGTTTTGAAATAACTGGAGAAGTTAGTGATTACTACCGCCGTATTCATCCTCAAACTGCCTACGTGCTCGAAAGGTCCTTATCAGCTACAGAAGCTAGGGAATCCGACTCTGAATCCGATTAAACACTCACTCCAATGTAAATACATCATTTATTTACACTGTTAATAAATACACCAACAGCATCTTATCCACTCTCTTTTTTGTTCAACTCCATATACTGCCAAAGTGCAGGTTTCATGAAGGTAATCGCTTAGTTCGTATCTTTTGGGTTAGTAAAGTAGTTCATTCACCTCAGTCCACTGGTCACTGATATCACCTACTTCAAAACTTTTGTTACATATAATCTAGGATTTATCGTAACTAGGTACATGTTGGTAGTCCGTAACTAACGTGACAAGCTCTATTATAGTATATTGGTTAATATTATTGTGGTACGGTTTGGGTAGCTGTATTATCATCCGAAAGAGGTCATCTTAGTGATCTGGTTATACTACCAGTTCCTCGTTTGTACTTATGAATAAGTCTTTTCAGTAAAACTGATATGTCTATGTGCAATGCTTATATTTATTCACCGTTTCCTGTTTTTATCTTTTCGGTCAGTTTTATCAAGTTATGTCTGAGATCTCTTTATTTTATTTTTCGAACTCACATTCGCCAAGCAAGTGCGTTCACATTGTGTAGATGATATAATAAAACGCCCCCCCCCCCGATTATCACTACATATGCTTACTAATTCACACCAATGACAGGCATATGGTACCATTATTACTGCACCAAGCTAGGTTTTCACAGTTTGTGGAGTCCCATCAATATTTGAGTGTAATAAGATTGTCATGTTTAAGTAGCCTTATATATGACGGTGCAAATCAGTGACCAACCATATGTTCGTATGAGGAGCTTTAGATGAAGACAATATAGACCTTAAGTGACTTAATATCGTGTGATAAGAACTATGGTTTGTTGTTTAGAATTCGATAATTCAGATTGATAAGCCGTAAATTTGGGTTTATTACCATTAAGAGTTTTTAGTTTTGTTCTGAAAGATTAGGAGCATCAAAATTCACAGTTAATAAAGCTGACCAAACGTAACTTATGAAGCGTGCATTACTGGTCAGTCTATGTTTTTATTCTAGTAATTATACATTTTCAGCCTCACTTTTTTCTCATGGATTGTCATTTCGCTTTGTAATATATTTGATTGTCTCTCTTACGGCTGTTTGTTTGGCGGAATTAATATTAGTAAAAACTTCTCATAATCCTACTTGTGTTTACGTTTCAACGTGATCGAACCAATACATATGTAGTGTTCATCTGACCTTAAAGAAAATTTTCGCTTAGATTACCCTTGAAAAGAGTTGAGATAACCGAGCAGAAATTCACCAATAACTTTTTGATTCCTTCAATCAGTTTGAGACGCTTAAAGTATTGATGGCTACCAATGTGAATGGAAAATTCATAACGATAACAAGATCAATCTAAATTATCATACATCACACAAACACAGTTGAAGGAAATCAAATTAGTAATAGTGTTAGCAGCGGGAAACTGGGTGAAACAAGTGAAAGCCTAATAGGAAGTATGAATAATCCGATTATTAGTACTTACTTGAAGTTAGAGAATGAACTGGACATCATTTATATCATAAATATAAAAGACAAATGCAGTCTTATCGCCCCGACAATTTTCTAGTCATGTGAAGCCTTCAACTATCAATAATTGCTCTCGTACTAAACACATGGCATATATAAGTGGTTCCTTAAACGGGTAATGTCTCATGGTTTGAGCAACTTTGGCGTTGATAAACTTACTATGCTACCCATCGCTATTCTCTAAATTTACAACCTTATCAGATGACTTTCCAATTTTACAGAGCACTCTATTTATGAAATAACCCTATTAACCTGGCTATCATTATTAAAAGCGTCTAGTGATTCAAAAACACATGATCAAATACACTACCTATCTTCTTTCAGTGACCATACCCCATAACTTTAGTGCATCTTGAAAACAACTAATACTCAGTATATAAATACAGGTGGTGTAAGTTGGTAACAACTAAACATGACATTTTAGGTCGTGCAGCTCGCTTGTAATATAGCCACTAGCATTTGTGATTTAAGAATTCTAAGGTTCAAAACCATAAGCAATTAATCATTGAATTACTGTATGTAGCTGACTGGTAATTAGCTTTTAACTATGAAAATATTTCTCTAATGACTCGTCTCAGAACACTTCCTATATTGGCACAAAAACTAATTTGTGTGAAATATAAAAGAAATGAATGGTTACGAAATTTAGATATGTTTTATATCCGTTAAATTGGAAACTAGAAATTAAGCATGCGAGTCTATAACATTATATCATTATAAACTTAAAAAATTTATGAGCCAAAGTGCTGCTCATTTGTGTTTAAGAGATCTTATCTGTAAATTTATGAGCGTTCTAAATTGCACCACAATTTCAGATATTACTCAGTTTTTATCGAAAATTTTTGACTAACTCATTACTATATATATTGATGTTGTGGCTTAACAGTCCAACGCCTAGCGTTCGACTGTTGTGTTGCGATTCTATATTCTTGTTTGCTTTGGTAGTCGTCCGCACACACAATAGCTGTAAACATACTATATGAATTGTTTACGAAGTTTCATTCACACATATTTCTAGGCCATGTATTTACGCATAAGAAGTGTCAATAACTTCCTTTACAATTGTAGTCTCTAATGACCTCATCACTTTAAATTAGGTACCCTGACCAGAATTCTGATTCCACATTTGAAGAGCGACAGACAAAATTACGATCTTTTTTACACTAAACTTCCGAAGCCAGGCTTCGTTGAGCCACTTATCAGTCATTTGAGATAAGGTAAATTCATTAAAGTTGCTGTAAAAATGAGCCAGATGATCTGTTCTTTCAGTAGCTCCACGCAGAATCTTTAGGAACTGATTTTTTGGGCCATTATCTTACTGATACCAGGCTTTTGGCTACTGGTGTCTCAAATGTTCTTGAACAACTCCCAGCTATTACCAAATTTATCTGTGAACGAGAATTTCGCAAGTGTCAGCATATTTTGCAGTTTATCAGAAACAACATAGTTAATTTTAGGTTGGTTACTTTCTGAAATCAAGTCCATGATCTTTTAGTGTTAGTAAAGTATAAGGATTTCAAGTCATTTCCATCTGAAATAGCAAGTCGGATTCGGGCTTTTCATGTCCACGATGAACTAGGCTCTGGAAAATTGAAATATAGTTTATGAAGCACCCCTATATATTCCAAGTAAGCTGGCACTTATCAGAGCTGTCTGACCAGACTGTTACAACAAGTCAGCTCAAAACTACATCTTTCACACCCGTTAGTGTAGATAAATGATTTGACAATGAGAACCTCTGTTTTACGTATCTTACTGATGGAATATAAGATACGTGTACTAATAGCAAAAATTCACGATGATTAATGTTTCCAGTTAGCCGTTCAACACGTCTCGTACCTGAAGGTCACAGCAGAAATTAGGATAACACAAAACAGTCGATTTGGGCAAATAATGATAACGATATTCTGGATTCGAGGTTCCCGAGTTAGATACTATTCAATGTTATACGTGTGGGACGTCGTTAATTAGTACTGCAAGATTTCCTTAATATCACTGATATCAATGCAGATATTTGGAAACATCGATCCGGGCAACTGCTTAGCTCGTGATAAAGGATAGTATGTCAAAAGCCCACTAAGTCGATAGCTTAAGTGTATAGTAACTTACAGAATTTTGTAATCTATCAGGAACAGGGAAATGCTTTGTACATTCAGGTCGATGATGTTTTTAATGTTCTTTTTTCCTAACGAAATATAAAGTTTAGTGCAAACCCTTTCTAGTTATTAAAAAAGAACTTGTATTTTATAATTGAAACTTTCAGTTTTCTATGGCTTAATTGAAACTCTTATGTGATGATTAACTGGAGATTTCTCTAAGAGAAACAAAATGAGTGATCCTTAGTCTGAGTCGTGTTGGGGATGCACTTTTCATTGTTCCAATCCAACCCTTTTGTATTATATACATTTTCCTACTGTTCATTATACCATTATTACATCTTCATTTTATTCACTTACGCTTCCCGTGTTAATGCAACAAATAATTGTGGTAGGTTAAGATTCGTTTGTCTGAGTTGTTAATAAACAGTTTCATAACAGACTGTCCACTAAACTAACCCAATTTAGTATCAAGATGAATTAACAATTATATAGTAGCTTACTACCTATTACCAATATAATCCATCTAATATGTGTACCAAATAACTTAAAAATTTGATCTTTGTAATTACACTTAAGGAAAATTGTAGTTGAGAATGTCAACGATTTTCGATGAAATCCTATTCCGTAGTGTTACTTCTTATGTAATCCACAAACACCATACAACAATAATCATACCGGACAGTCAAGATACCAACGATTAAGTATATAAGAACCTACGTTTGAAGGATATATAGGATTCGAAAAGACTCAATCAATATCAAAGTCAAAATCCCCAATACGAACGTCAAGACAGTTCTACTATACCGAGCTGAAACTTCGAGAACTATCACAAACATCATAAAAAAGTACATGTATTTATAACAATTTTCTACTCAATATATTCAATGTCCGTTGGTCGGATACCATCAGCAACAACCTACTGTGGGAGAGAATAACCAGTTTCCAGTTAAAGCGTAAACTAGGAAATTGCGCTGGAGGTGGGTAGAACATACATCTAGGAAATAATCAAACTGCATCACGAGGTAAGCGCTAACTTGAGATCTTGAAGGGAAACGGAAAAGTGAAAGACCAAAGAACAAACTGTGTTACGGATTGAAGCAGACATAAAAAGAACATATAGCAAGTGGAAACAACTGCCAAGGACAGAGTATGCTGGTAGGCGGCCTATGCCCCTCTACAAGGGGTAACATGTATAAGTAACACAGTACATAATGAAGTGTACTCAAGAATGTGACTCAAGAAATTTAAACAACTAAAAGTCTTGATCCCACTGTTTATCTGACTAACTAATCATAATTAATTGGACATAATTATGCTTTTTCGTCTAATCGAAACCAGAGTTAAATTGTACGATTCAAAGTATACAGTGAATATATACAAATATAAGTTTACAGATTCAAATCTTTGTTAACTAACAATTTTAAAAATAAAAGTAAACATGCAAAAATACTTGATTAGTCATAAGTTATTATAATTATGTCATAGATCTACGACATTGTTCAAGTCATGCATCTTTATCATTCAGGACATAAAATATTAGTAGCAAACAAGAAATACATGTATATATATAATCATTGTGTTTGGAAGATAAAAAAAGCAGGACAACAGGTAAAGTGGTTAATTAGAGTAGAGAAAAAACTGAAGCAATAAAAAAACTATCCGGTTAAAATTCAAGCAGTCGGGTTCCTTTGAATCCTGATTCTGTATGAATTGATTCTGAAATGAAAATGATGCATGTTAAGTAGTACATATATATAAAGAATTCCAATTAGATAATTTCCACTGACATTTATGCATGACGTTAAAACTTGCATTTAATGTGCCCATTTATTAACGATATATTTTTATTTATTGTCTTTTTATAATTATTTAAAATATCTTATACTCTTTTCTTTTTATGATTCAATCTTAAACATACAAACAACAATAATAATTTTAGCTGTCATGTTAAATATGTTATTTCCGCTTGTTTTGGACTAAACTTCATTGATTTGGGTATGTATTAAAAAAAGTCTGGCGAGACGAACCAATCACGTATAAGATAACAGGCTTCGGATTTTGGCGCGAAATCCACTCATCCATTTGGATAAAATAGAGTTTTGTGATTATAACTGATGTCAGTTCGTGATGCAAACCCTAAATATAATTTCTAACCTTAATCAACAACTGTAAATCATAGTTCTGATTCCTCACACAGGTTTATAATCCTCACTTCGTCTTGGTTATTAGGTGGACACTCTCAAGGTCAGTCTAGCGTCACTCAAAGGTCGTCCATAAATCATAGTCTCGCCAAAAGTGTTTTTCTTACAATAATATTCCCATTTCAATAGTTGAGATCATGAGTGAATTGAAGCCAGGCCACCATGGAAACCTGGAAGTACTGGACGGCCATTTCGTCCCATTATGGGACTCCCCAGCAGTGTGCATCCACGATACCGCTCGCGGGATTCGAACCCAGGACCTATCGGTCTCGCGTGCGAGCGCTTGACCACTAGACCACCGAGCTGGCATCCAATGTTGTCAATTTCCAACTTCGAATAATCCACGAAATTGAGTGACACATCCACCTTTGTCATCAGTGAGTTCCTATCTCACAACTAACCCGGTTGAACTCCACTGGTCACTGCTCACTAGAACTCTAGGATGTACATCCTCAAGCCAGTCACTACTGAGCATATGTTGATTAGTATCAGAATGGGTTTTGTGGAGATTGTAGTAACTTCAAATAGTTGAGATCATGAATCTAGTTTCAACTGACTCATGATCTCAACTATTGAAACTACAATCTCCACAAGACCCCTTCTAATAATACTATTGTCATCTTAGGTTGTTTGCAACTGGCGAGATGCTATAAAATACAATGAATTCATGTTATTTTGCAAATCTTGTACTTTTTGCTTTATTTCAATTAAAAATTATTGTTGATAATAAAAAAATAGTGGTTAATTTTATGAACGTGATTGATATGGTGACGGTCAACCCTATAAATTTGAAAGTTGTTGAAAAATAGAGAGTGAATAGAAAACACATGGAGAATAAATGATTAAATCTATTCTCAAGTTACTCAGTAGCATATAGATTTTATCTGTTAAACCAAAAATTAGATTATTAAATTAATAGATGGGAAAAATTCAAAACGTAAGTCAGTTCATCATTGTTATATTTTACAAATACACGTGACTGCAGAACAGCTATCAATATTTACTTAATTCAATATTCTGAAATGATGAGATCATGAAAATTATTCTTACATAACATAATGATTTCATGAAGATAAATTGACTAATGCCAAAATGCTAAGACGGAAATTATTGAATATTAAAGTTTTTTTGAAAATTGGTTTCTGTTAATTTCGTGGATTGGTTGAACTTAGGCATTAACACCATTGGATGACGTCTTAGTGGTCTAAAGGTTAAGCGAGACTGATTGATTCTGGGTTCGAATCCCGCGAGCGATATCATGGATGAGCACTTCTGAGGAGTCTCACAATAAAACGAAACGGTTGTCCAGTGCTTCCAAGTTTCCATGGTGGTCTGGCTTCAATTTACCCATGATCTCAACTATTGAAATTCCTATAATATCCACAAAAACCCCTTCTGATATTAATTTATAATGTCATGTCCATTAAACAATGAATCCATATCAAATGACTATTATATAAAACTGAAATTTCAGAATTTAAACTGGTCAATAAACTAGTAGATATTTTAATGTTACATTCTAAGCAGGATACTTTGTATGAGATTTTAGTGAAAGTTAAGATTGAGAATTCGGTAACATAAAGACTAATCATATAAATGTAGAGAAAAAAATTAGAATAATAGGATGACATGAATATTAGAAGCATTTTTGGAAAAAAACTTACCAGAGTTTGATTTACATGGACTATTTGATTTCAACTTTTGTGTCGTTAACTTGATTGTACCATTATCAAAACTTGTTCGATTAGGATTCCATGTTGGATCATCTGACCATAAATAGAGAATAGTCTTGGGACAAATACTTAACTCTTGTAATGTTTTCGTATGGTCAGTAAGTTCTAGACCCTGAAAAAAAGTTAGCGATATTCATAAAACACAGGACCTTAACAGCTTTACATAATTTATTGCATAAATATGCTCAGATGTAGTTACAATAAGTCATCTGTCAAGATTTCACAAATTCACTGAGATTTAAATAAGGCAATTATTAGACACGAAAAAGAAGAACCTGAAAAAACTCAGAGTATAAAACCGAAAAATGTGGAATCTACACAGAGATAGGGAAAAGAGATTCACGTAATAAATAAATATTGTATAGAACACTAAGATATGATAATACATATTGCATCCTCTATCAAGACCACATGACATTCTGCCAAGGAGCTAAGATTATTTAAATATCATTATTTAGTAGCGAAGCCGCAAGCGGCTTTGCTCGCCGTTTTGATGGCGTCATGCAATTGCAACCAATGCTCATCTATACTTTTCGGCGGAGTGGTAGCTAGCCTAGAGGCTAGCTCGGTTCGATACTTACTTGCAACAGAAGTTGCAACCACCTTGCTAATATCAATCCGTTGATGGCGGTCATTTCGTTGGCCACTGAAACGTAAGGCAAGATTGGCGCAGACCAAGGCACGGTCAGAGTCCAGATAGGTACTCCAAAAGAAGCGGCAGTCTTGTACACAACCACGCCAGCGGTAGCTGATCGCGATGTGATCAATCTGAGCCCAAGCTTGAGATGCAGAGGGAGGACGCCAGGTGGCACATTGGCGATGACTGTGCCGGAGGTTAGTGCTAGCCAGAAACAGGTTGCGGTCTGTGCACAGTTGCAGTAGACGGTCCCCGTTACCTGTCCTGCGACCAACGAGTCCCCTTCGGCCACCTAAACGATTCTCTTCTGTGCCTAGACGCCCGACATGAGCATTCATGTCTCCGGCTAGTACTACAATATCTGGCGGACGCACTTTCTGGAGAAGAACAGATAACTGGTGGTAGAATTCATCCTTGATTGCATCCGGGCTGCAATCTGTCGGGGCATAGGCGGAGATGACGAAAAGACATCGTTTCTCACGCCGATTTCTTCTCACTTTGATGGAACTTTCTAATCTAACAGCATATAACCGACTGTTAATGGGGATCCAATCGACTAGTGCTGCCTCAGCTCTAGCGCTTAGTGCGACACCAACGCCAGCAAGACCAGAAGAAGATGCCACAGGGTCCCCGGATAAGCGCATGTAAAACAAGCTTTTTGAAGTGACAGATGTAGAGCGAATTTGTAGTACTCCACCAGAGTCTTGAATACGGGTCTCGGATAGACAGCAGACAACGATATGAAGACTTTCCAAAGACATAGCCAGGCCTATCTGTTGTCCAACCTGCATAAGTGTGCGAACGTTGAAGGCAGCCAGTTTGAATGGTGCATGTGGTTTCAGAAAAACTGCTTCAGTACTCATATTCAGTGGTAACATACAATTTTCAACCGGACAGTGACTCGAGAACGTTTAGATAGAACCGAGTTTTCATCATAAGCGAGCTGCTATATAAGTCGAAAAATAAGGATACACAAAGTGGGAATAAAAGAGAGTGGATACGTGACCTGGTTAATAATAATAATAATGTGAACTGTTTGACTGGTAGTCAAAGCGTGAATAGGATTTCAGTAAATCTCGCCACTTTCATTTTATTTGTGTGTGGGCTGTGATACTGCCCGGGTGCCCAGACCGAAGCAGGGGCTTTTCTTAGGGGGCCACATCTCGAGCATTTGACCTAGAGGTCTGACCCACAAGGCAATGGAGCATCGTAAATGAATAAGAATTATAAATGAACAAGAATAAATCATATTATGGCATTTTTCCCCTCTAAAAAAACACTTTGGAAACACGATTTCAATTGTGATAAAGTAATTTACAAAATAATAATTATAACCTTACATTTGACATAATATGTTGATCGGAAGGTATAACACCTAAGTTTTGCATAATTTGTACTTTCACATTAAGAAGAGTATCACTACTGTTCACTTTGATCAATAAATCTTTAGGATTAAAACGTTGACGTGAAGAACGTCTAATATAATTTGTAGATGAAGACTCTAAATGTTGATTAGATAATTGACTATTTGTATTATCATAAAGCACATGTTGATGCTGATGATTAGATGATGGAGGTAATTGGTCTATTACACTAGTTTCATTATCTGATGAAAGACGTGGAGTGATATCTTTGCTAACAGAATTGGATAATTCTAAATTATTACATCGTTTATTGAAATAATCTTTTATTTCTCTCACATTATCCATTTCCTAAATAAAGAAGAATTTTTCAAAAAAAGCACGATAAGAAGTACAAGAGAAAATCATAATGTTACGTGAATTTGAAAACCTTTTTATTTGATAAATTTAGATAATAACCAATGAAAAGACGAAGTTCATCAGAACAATTTACTGTACTAAAGTAATGCATTTCAGACAATTCGATCACATTGACTTGTAAATGACATATAAAAATTCCCAACTCCCCTCAATGTTCAAAGGCAAATATATTCACGCCAACCTATCCTTGTAGTACTGTTTTGTTATTCAGAATGGCGTGGAGCGATGGGCTGCTAATTATAGCGTATGATTTTCAAACCTTAAGTACCAAGTTCGAATCCCGCACTTCCTACTTCGGTTAGGGCAACCAAGTAGTATTATTGGTCCCAACACTTACAGTATGGCTTATACTCAGTTATCTGGTAAGTCAGTCAATTAATTGATTTTTCTAGAGTGCTGTGGTTCATATTGTTTTGCTCCTTATTTTCTTTTATCTCACAGTTTGTCTGGTTTGAACTTTTATTTCCCATAGATAAATATCTTTACAAGTTAATGTGCGGTTCGATTGTTTGAAACAAACTGTGGTGATATATCATAAATAAGATTCATCTCATTGATTTAAAACAATTGAAAAGTAAAAAAGATGGAAGCTGTTAAATTTATTGTTAATGTATATTTCGATTTTCCTTTTCAAGAATTAGAATATTTAGGGTATTTTAAGAAAGTTTCACTTATAACCAGAATAGTATTATCAACATTAAAGAAAACAGATGTTATCAAACAAGGTATCATTTATAGTGGATGACTTTAGTCATAATTGGGCACTGAATTACGTGTGACACAAAATATTTACAAGTTTATTTAGGAAAACCCTAAAATTATTAAATAATAAGTTATAAAGCAGCACGATTATTGCTAAAGCAACGCAGTTTGCTTGTAATAGCACATACGGAGACTTATTAAACACGATATTAATGGTTAGTTGGCGTGGAGAGCACGTAAACTAACCACGCTGAAGTTTGCTTCCTTAGGAGTTACGACACTAATGTTGACAAAACATGGGGTTCCTTTTCGTTAAGTAAAATTTTACAGCCCCTTATCCCCATGCCGCATACCTACCATAAAGCATTCGAGTATTGTACTTGAAAGTCTGACATACGGTGCAAATACTAATTTCGGATCGACTGTCAAAACCCGTGTCTGTGTTGCACCAACCTGATCAGAATTGTTCGGAATTATGATGTCAGTTGTTGGTTGAGCACAAATTTCTGTGTCAGTTTGAAAATCCTGTGGCACACAATTCAAGGATTCCTGAACAGAGGTGAGTTTTGACTGGACGCAACTACTTAATGCTTCATCGAATCCAGATACCAGACGTATACGGATTCTAGCATTATTAAAAATCTGATCACTGATTATCTCAGGTTGACAATTTGGGCATAAACTGCCATAAGATGATGGTTCCAATCTCCACTTCAGTTCAGAATCATTCTGTGGAAGTAAATACATCGGTGGATAGAAAGTTATTTTTGTCTCCGGTCCATCATGATCCAAAGGTATTTCGTTTTCCTTAAAACGATGGGGATATGCGTGAGACAAGACATCCCATTCATAAAAAGTTAAGGGACACAATATTGACTCATTTATAAGAGCATGCCATGTTTTTAGCATCTGAAATTAATCATTAAAAACAAGAAAACAAATGTTAGAAATGAATTGCAGAAAAAATGCAGTAGCATATATATATATATATATATATATATATATATATATATATATATATATATATAAACAGCTAAAAGTTCGCTTCAAATAATGAAGATTAAATTAAACTATGAAGTGGAGCAAAAAACGATATATATATTTCAATAGAAATGGGTATAATTGTATATGAGGATTTTATATTGATCTTATGTCTGTAGGATTGTGAATTTAACTGATTACAGAAAAGAGGTAACTGGAGGACTAAAGGAATTTGTACCCTTTTGGTTGAAACACCTATTAGTGATACTGTTATATCCGAACAAAGAATAAGTGAAAGGTAACGGCTAGGATCTATTTATGAATTATTGTTATGTATATTCTTTTGTATAACTATTAAGTAACCATATCATATGTATATTCATATTCCTTTTATTATGGATTTTATTTGAACTATTGACTATTATTATACGATTTACTATTCTTAAGATATTTTTCATTTAATAGTAACAGTCTGTCAAAGTCACTTTCTGGCTTGATCTTTTACGATTATTATTTTCTGTTCTATGGTATGACGCGATTTGGTTTGTTTCCATATAAACCCAGTATGTTTGAAATATGATTCGTATAGCGGAGGCTGATATCGGCGTCCTGGTTTGAACCGGCTGGGTTGGGAGAGAAGCTACTATCTCAGAGGACCAATAGGAACTTCAGGCTGCTCGTACTGGTTTGTGCATCATTGGTTTGGTCGCATAAGTCGGTGTCTAATTGGCGACCTCATCACGTGTTATATTCGCAGGATATAACAGATGCCATTAGTGATGTTATTCTTTAGTTTTTGATTAAATGTGTGCTAGTGAAGTCGGTACTCGATGCGTAACCAGTGTCATTCTTCACACAAGGGTAGTGATAAAAGTCTCCGTATCGTTAGTCATAAACAACGTAGTACCTAGTGTAAGAACATAGAAAATCATATTGATCCACTAAATCACCACAAAACGATAAATAAATGAGTGAATAGCAGTGAGAAACAGTAAACGTTGAGAATATGGTTAGATAAGGGACGAAATAAAAATATATAATAATACTTAATCATAAGTTCTAGAGAAAGATAAAGAATGAATCTATCCGCGCTATTGTGACTGGCTTAGAACGATGTCATCCGAGTTCTCCGACAACTGATCACCAAGCAGGTAATTTCATCTACCCACATGGTTTAGACAGACAGGTAGTAATTAAATGGACTGGCGTTACATATCGGTTTGGGTTCTGTTAGCCTTTTTCAAAACGAATCATACACTAGTTTCAAGGTAGACGGCGGCAAGTGAACTTGTAGAAGAGTAACGGGGAAGCTTATTACGTATGAAACATCTGATAGTATCCTCGCAGACACGGAGTGAAGTAGTGGCTGGTTAGGCTACGTATGACATTTCTGGAGATAGTTTGCAATAAATTTTGTCCAGAGCTATGCACTTAGGTCTGTATGTGTGGTCGAATTATGATATACAGTATACCTAGTGAACAACAGAATAATTTGTACATGGCACATTGTATAGTTGACTGATAAGAGAGGATGAGTTCTGACTAAATGTGCTGTTAATCAATAATTTATTCGAATAATTAAGAGACCGATAAGAAGAGAAACGGTAGCAGTAAAACAAGGATGGAAGACTTTCCAAGCTGATATTGCAACGACCTTCCCAAATCTTTTGGTAACGAAATAAATACACCATCCTTTTCTATGAACAAAGAAAGATTTAGATGCTCGTGCCACTTTTACCTTAAATACTTCATTTTAAAAACTTTGTGTTGCCATGTACAGATCATTTTAATTGGAAATTTCCATTTCATGAACCACTGGACAAGCTAACAGCATTATTAAAATAGCTTATTTAAGAGCTCATCATTACTGAAAATTTTAGTTCGAATTGAAACATTTGAACTGACTAAATGACTGCTTTCTTCTTCCCGACAACTGTGTCTGCGTGTAGCCATTCTTGAAATATATGCAACAATTAATCATGTCATTTTCTAATATTTGACTCTTTATGCAAATATCGAATAACAAGCAGATTTAGTTGGGATTCTAGAAATCAATACTACTAACGCATATCATGCATATGAGCTTTACTTGTGAAGGATAAATGTACCAACAGATTGGTTTGACCTAGAATTCAACAATTCAGAATGTTTTAACCATTCATTCGTCGTTTTTCAGTAGACTATATACAAAATAGATTACTTATCCAAGATGATCCCATTTCATGTCGATCTGTTTGCTTGACAATAATAATAATAATAATAATAATAATAATAATAATAATAATAATAATAATAATAATTAACAATAGCATGTGAAAAGGTGTACATGGGTATGCTTATTATGATCATTTAAATAGTTTTCATTTCATTGAAAGAAAATCAAACAATAGAGAGTTGTGACAATTAATTCATTACTTGGCCATGTTCACAAAGCACGCCATCTGAGTTAAAGCCAGATAATAGCGAACTAGGTAAATTATCTGCTGTTGGATTTCGAATAAATTTTCTCCATTGTATAATAAAATTCATTGGAATCAAGTAAAGAACATTGGTATTTAAATTATTTAATTTCTTATCGGTATCTGTAGAATGACCGTTTAAATTTTCTGACTTAGAATTATTGACCCTACAAATAAATAAGCGACATTAGTAAATAAAAATGTATTAGAGGTTATATAAATGACAAACGTTAAGGTTAATAGTTAGTTCCTGCTTCGGTTTGGGCACCCAGGCAGTATTACAGCCCTCACAAGAATCAAATGAGCTTTGTGTGGCGCATATGTATTTGGTACCTACTTGTACCAATATCTATGTGTTAAAATAAATACTAGTTAGTTAGAGGTAGTCGCTATTTTTGGTTGGTTAAATCTGAACTTAAAATTGAGACGATTTACCTGGAAGAAGAATGTACTTCATTCACAAAATTTTTTAAGAAAATCCACTGATACTTACGCACATCAAAGAACTAAACTAAATTTATAGGTAAGTGAAGTGAAATCATCATCACGGGAAATAATAATTTATCAATTTAAAAAAAGAGTGCAAATTACCCTTCAAAGTTAAATTTGCATTCGCTTAAAGTGTCTTCTTTTATATTTACAGCTGTATTTACTGTTTGACCGGTAGAGTGTAAAAGTCGCATACGTTGAACATTTGACAAGAATAAGCCAGGAAGCATTTGACGTTCACATAATGCTCGTTTTGTCAAGTCATTTTGTACTGCGTTACATTCAGAACAAGATGACTCTGATTTATTGAATATACTAATGGAATTGATAGATGCATTATTGTTATTGTCATAAGGAATATAAATAGGGAATGTAGGAATCTTTACACCAGGAAATAAATCGACTAATTTATGCCAAAGTACGGCTGGTAAATAACGTGTATTTTCTGTACAAATTTGACCGTGAGGACAAAGAATATCATGATTAAATGTTGTTTGTGTATGATGGCCAGTTGTTGGTGACTTAGAATCATCATCATAATCAGAGTAAAAAGCTCGTGTGAAATGACGTGCAAGAGTTTTCCATTGACGAAGAGATCTCTTACCAATTAAATAATATCCAGGTTCAGGATTCAAAGGAACTGAGTCTGTCTTTAAAAATTTAAAGGAATATATTAGCATAAACTTAAAAACCAGAGATGATAGTAATAAACTATTTTAACAATGTATTTTTGGAAATCCGAAGCATTTAAATGAAGTACAGGCTCAAGTCCCACAGATAGCCAGTGATACCATCTGACTGCTTAAACCAAAAGTAGGTGAGACAAGCGGTTGAAAATTGCAATCATATTTATTTATTTGAACACAGATATTGAGACAAAGGGGCACCGGATACATATGTACCACACAAGTCACTTGAATTGTATGTGGGCTGTGATACTGCCCCGGTGCTCAGACCGAAGCAGGTGGTTTCCTTAGGGGGCCACACACGGAGCATTCGACCTGAAGGTCTGATCTACAAGGCAGTGGAGCAACGTCAGGAGATGCAGTCCCATGGCATCCAGTGACCAATAATTGGTTCATATACCATTTGTTCCCTCAGGATCCTGGAGCCCATGTGCCCAATTGACTTAAAATCAGGTTTTGCCAACTCCCGTATGTGGAACAATATAAATCGAAGTTCATACACTTTGAATGAACACAGAAAATAGTAGTAATCTGTTTGGATGTGTCGCCAAGATCACTACTAATTCACTTTCCTTTCAAGGTACCCCGAAAAGTATCCTTCCACAGTGTGAGCAGCTGGGAAGTGACAACTTCCCATACACGTCTAATAGTACAAGAGGTCTAAAGCATAGTCAAAAAAGGAATGTAATTGTATCGCGTTTCTAATCTGTTAGTATTAAAATGAATTAAATCCCAAGGAATATGATAAGCTTGAAATACCGGTGATTAAATATGCTAAACTATTACTTAATACTATACTTAATGTTCGGCGATCAAGCCTAATTTATCATATTCAAAAGAATGCAAAAAAGGCGAAACATGCAATTATAACTTTAAACTGAGTCTCATAAACAACAAGAAAGACAAATTATTGTACCTGAACGTCCCATGTAAAGTAAAGTGAAAATTATACTAATTACCTTAGAGTTATTGAACTAAGATTTGACTAGGTAACTAGCTAAAAGAATATGTCAATAAGTTCACTAAAATACACTAGCGAAACGTTCATCAACTAAACAGTAGATAAAAAATCATTGAAGAATGCATGGAAAGAATCATATATTTCAGTAATTTAAAAAAAAAATAGATATTTACCTTTTCACTTTGAAGACGTTTATAATATGAGGAAGACAAATGATTAGTTTTTATAAAATAGTCCAATTCTTTAGATAATTCTTTAATTGCATTTTCAACTTTTAATAATGCGATATTTAGTGTAATACACTTTCGACACGGTTGAAATCGATTAAACCTTGAAAACAATTATTAGATGATAATAGACTTATATAAGGAAAATAGATTTTCATAAAAAAGAAGTATTCTAGAAAAGATATTTTAAGTTGTATCATGTTATAAGGATGCTTTTCTATTCTTAACCTGTCCATTAAAATGAACGAATATTTTAAGATTTTAATAGGCTACAAAATAATAATCACTGTAGTCTGAAAGCACGACACAACCTAGAGCTTGAGCGTCCACACGCGAAACCACAAGTCAAGGGTTTGAGTCCCGTGCGCGGGATCGTGATCGTCCCATACTAGAACGAAACGGCCGTACAGTTCTTCCAGTTTTCTAATGGTGGTTTAGCTTAGATCGACTCGGGAATCCAACTGCTAAAAATACTACAATCCCCACAATTCCCCTTACTGAAAATAATGAGTTTTTAACAAAAGATTACTTGTACACTATGAATAACAGTAATAATAAAGATGATATCGTTATAAGACAAAACTGTGTACCTATTATCTTCAGATTGAATGGCATCAAATGATTTTTGGAAGAGAATCTCAATAAGCTTTTTAAAACCTTCGCTAGAAACAGCTCTGTATGAACCTGCAACAAGATCTGTAGGAGCATGGCCATGTGAACAGGTGCGTAAGGTATAAGATGATTGATTTGATAAAGAAGAGGGAAATATGTAGTCTCTGAGTTTTGAAAGCGATTTTATCTGAGCATCAGTTAAGCATGCATCTCCCAATAACAACGGATTATTAAGGCAATCACATAACCACGATGTTGATACCAAAGATACATTATCGAGAGGATTTATTGATATCGAAGTACTATTATTCGGTGATGAATTGATAGGATCAGGTAATTTCAGGTTGGATAGTATTTCAAGTAATTGATTTTTACGATTTACCTGTCAGAAGAAAAAAATTGTCGTTATGTAGATAATTGAGGAATACTGAACATAATCTTTGTAAAATGGCAATCGTTACAAATAATCCTAGTGGTTTATGCATTTCTCTGGAAAGACAAATAAACATCAACCTGTTATTAATTTAATATATATCCTAAGAATATTGCTTTGCAAAGTAGGAAAGCATATCACAACTGTTAAAAATAATTCGTAAAACCACATCTTTACTTCAATATGTGATGCATGAAATTACAAATGTGCTCAATAAATCGAAGTTGATATCGATAATTAAGCAGTTAATGAAATGACAGTGTTACCAAGTCCATCGATGCTGAAATCTTCAAAAGTAACACACAATTAATGATAGTCACTATTTTCTTGTAAAATACATATACTAGGTTCTTACTTTCTACTATTTATATGAGCACAGAAGCATATTTATGTAAAGTTTCAAAATAGCACGGAATAGCTATGCATTCCAAGGCAAATAAAGACAGATAAGAAAACTAGACTGAAGTTTAAATGATAATTAAACTAATATTTATTTGAAATGTTTGGTACTTTAAACAATAATCTTTACTTATTCAAATTGATCAATTCATTAGGTACGAAGAAATAAAGATTAAGATTAATACATTACATTCTATTTAGTCATGATTTATATTTCTTTAGACACCTAATTTCTCACAATACATTCGTTGGCGAAAAAAATCCGTTCGCTGAATTTCGGGTTTTGAATTTTCTAATAAGAAATATAAATTTATCAACTAACATGTATAGCCAGGAGAAAATTTTGCAACAACATACTTTATTTTGTTGTTCAGATAGACGCTTTTGTTGTTCAGTTAAATTTACTTCTTCAATTGTTTTGCGTAAGTCACTAGGAACTGTAATATCTATAAGGAAATAAAAATGGAAATATACAAATAATTATGAAATTAGTCAAGTATAAACTAATTTTAATTCATACATTAATAAAAAATTCAAAACAACTAATAGTAAATTGTTATTATGTCATTTATGTAAAATTATCTTTTAAGTGCAATACGGACACTTTTGTAAAACATACTGTCTTAGTACACACCAAGTAGTCTGATGGTTACATTTTTTCAGTTCTTGAAAGATATTTCTTTTAAAAAAATATTCATTTGCCAGGCACAGATTACTGTACTCGGCTTTGAGTCACATTCTAAATGTGAGGGCTAGAGTGAAACTAATCAGTTGCTGAAACCGGAGTAGGTGGAGCGCGGTTCAAACCCACTTCATAGTGACTGAAAGTCAACCGCTTCTGAGGGATATGACTTGCATTGTGGTTAAAGATAGAATTAGTGACTACCATATGGAATCACCTCAGTATACGTTCTCTAATTATGTATGCTATACTTAATACAACGTGCCAACATGCACGTCACCTTGATAAATCTTAGATGAACAAAAAGAAATTGAGCGATAAGTTGTAAACATATAATGACTAAAGCGAAGTTTTGCTTACGAAGCACTATTTATAACGTAGGAAATAATGATATGTATTGAGAACTACTAGTCTACCTAAAATTATTAAAAGGAGCTAAATGTAGCAAACACCGAAATAACTGAAACTTCAACATTTATAGTTGATAGGTCGTTAAGTTCGTTTATAAGTTGATAAGATTGCCCATGAAGCGAAACTGTGTCACAATAATTTTTGAGTATAACGAACAATCTTAATGTTAATACATCAATTTCATATGACAAACCATAGTTTAAATTAGTATAGTTCGTAATCTCCTCAAGTCACGAATGGCACGTGTTATGCAAATAATGTGACATCTTAACAATGTGTGACTTTTAACAGACAATTAAACTGACTTTGAAAAGCGTAACAACACCCAGCTTAAATGATACGTAACTACAAAGATACTTATGTTTAAAGTGTTATGCTTAATTTTGTACAGAAAATATGCTAAAGAACACTTGGCTTATTCGAACATAAGTAATCTATATATTTGAAAACTTAGTTTGAAATGGCTATGAATAAAACAGAAAGGTATTACTAACAATCATGTAAACTCAAATATGAGATACAGAATTATTCGTAGAGAGTGAATCACTCCTATATTTCGATAACTACTGCCATCATTCTTTTACTTTCCGAATACTTCTTCTGTAAATATACATTATTTTATATTTGTGATATTTTATTCAATTATGTGCTCACCAATGACTAATTTCAAGAGATGATTCCCCGAGGTTCTAGTGAGAATCCATGACCGGTGGAGTTCAACTATTTCAGGTGTGTGGCAGTTAATTAGCAATGAATGAAATTGAGAGATGGTTGTGAAATAACACAAATAAAATAAGATTCAAAAGATAAACAAGTAGATGTTGATTCTGTTACTAAAAGGTAAGGGCCCAGTAGAAGGCTTGTATGTCTTGGGTTCGACCCCCGTTAAAGTTTTGGGTATATACTGCTGAGTCTCACACTAGGACAGGAACAGCTATCTAAAGTTATTTAATTTTTAATGGCTGTTTTACTAATGCCAGTTAGTGACGTAGTTGAATCTATGATGTACATAGAAGCTATAAAAAGAATTCACATAGTAAACATCAATTGTTATACGAAAGAATATACGAATTATACTACCTTCATCCATATTACAATTATCCACCGATTCATAAAATACCATATACGCATTAGTTGAACTATGCCATAAATCGTCCTGTGACATACACTTAGAAGTTGTAGAATCTCTACTTTCATTAAGGTCAGTGAAACTAAGATCATTTGAGGAAGTATCATGACGAGGTTTTTTGGCTGCTCTACGACTAGAACACTTTTCAGAAGATTGATCAGATTTAGTAAGGTTTATTGACGAATCCGATGTTTCAGTAGTGGCTAGATAGCTTTGCAATGATTTAGCTGATCCGTTAATTTTTGCTAATTTAAATTGATTTGACGGTACGTTGAAGACCTTGAAAAAAAAAACATACGTTCTGTATTCATTATATGAGACAATTGAAAATGAAGTAGAAATTGGTGTATAATTCGGAAAAAGCTTATTTAAATACATAACGAGTGCACAGAGTGAATAATTTGACGGTTGAAACATATGAGTTCCAATAATTGAGACATATTATTAAACCCGAAATCCTATTATCTAACCTGGAAAAAAAATCGCACCCTTATGCTGAATAAATGGGAACTGCACCTAAATACTGAGTTCGTTTGCTGAGCGCTTATTTAAACTGTTAAAAAAAGTGCATTAAATGTGTCAGATGAATATGGAATCCAGTTAAGATACTAAGTGATTTAAATTGAAATAAGAAAAAAAGGTGAATAACTATGTCTGTCGATATAAGTAGTACGTAACACCAATAGGAAGTGAAAAACCTGGCAGCAGAAGACTAAGCATATCAAGCTGAAGCGAACAAATACGGATATAGAAGTGAATTGCGAATTGAAAGAATCGTACAGAATGTAAAGGACAAAAGATAGAAATTTGGAAATGAAGTATTTAATGTACGCTTTCCATAATTTACCAAAGAACTCAATAATATTGTGTAAAATACAAATCAGTCGTTCCCACTTGTGTTCTTGTTCACAACACTTACATCTATATCATTGCAAACACTCCAACATTCATTTGATTTTAAAGGATGATCATCTTCAGTACTTGATTCTGTGTTTTTATCACCAGATAAATTGATTCTTTTGTAAGAATCTCTAAGAACAGCTATATAATGTCCTGATGTTGGTTGGTTGCCAATATGTAAAAGTACACCACAGAGACGATATGCGCGATGACATGGATCTGAAATAAATACAAAATTACTATATAAATGGTAGTTTATTAGCACCAAACTCAATATTACACTTAATCAGTCACATGCAATATAGAACTTGACTTATATATGTGCCTTGAATCAAGTTCTCACACCGCATTAGCAGAAAAAGGCTCAACTTAACAAGGCAAATACCAGAGTAGAAGTAGTAACAGTATCAGTAGTAATAGAAACGATTAGGTATAGGAGGGAAAAAAGTACAGGGTTTGGAGGCCCAAGAGTGAAAGGAAGAAACAGAGCTAATGCATCAGTACCATTGAGGTAGATGATGGCTGGAGATATGTACCACACAACACGACCATCTCGGTCGATGAAGATTCACAACTTCATCAACCAATTTCTCGTATTTACTTAGTGCCCGATGTCTAGCACATCACTGCCCACTCAGCTGTCCCAAAATACACGAGCGATGGTTTGGAGACATTTATGAACGGATATAAGTAACTTAAGAGTATCCATTCTTAATGGTCATGCTCCACGCCTATAAAGTAGAACAGAGCGAACCGTTGGACATTAAAATCATCCTTCGATTGGTAGATGAACATTTCACCCACGCTACAAATGGTGCAGCTTGGGAAAAGCCAGATGAGTTTTCAGGATTCATGCCGAGATTTCGTTAGACATCAACCCACAAGGGGTCACAAGACCAATATAAGTGAAACGAAAAATGAACAAGTACATTGAAAACGTACCAAGCATTGTTAAAATTACGTGATATTTAATTTATGAAAAGTAATTCATTTACGAAGCACAGATTTATGTACTTGATATTGAGTTACAGGTTTTCTACGATGTGAGAACTAGGGACAATAATGTCTAGCCATTGACATCAAATTAAGATTAACCTGGTCAGAACTTGTTACTCTATTGTTTCAAAACTCAGTGATTTGATCATTAGATTATTTATTACAATTTTAGTTAAATAATTTAACAAAATTTTATTATTTGATAGATTTCTGACTAAGGAAACTAATAAAATAATCAACATGTTCTAAGTAGTATAAAATTTGTGAAAACAGGTATTGTGCAGGTGCACAATAAAATGTTAACAAAATCTTCCACAATGGCAATTTGACGCTTCCATCTATATTTTGATGTTAAAATTCTATTGTACTAACTTGATGAGTATGATAAGAATAGAGAAATAAGACGGAAATTACAGGTTTGACGGATTGGCATCACCATCTACTGTATCTCACATGACATCATACATTATGGTTTGATTTTAAGCTACTAAGCAGCAGGTTCAAAAGCTGCTCCAGATAATATGGTTTGGAAAACCGAATAGTATCACCAGCTCTCAAACCTACAGTGTAGTTCAAAGTCAAGTACCTGGTTGATGAGTTGATAATGATGATAAATTATCTACATGTATTTTTCCTGTATACTAGAAGTTAATGGTTACAACCGGTTTGTCAAATACAGGTTTATGTACACGGTTTCGGGCAACACTGTATATAACAGCCAACCTAAACCGAAAAAAGTGGAACGGGGTTCAAACTGGTGGTGTACTGGTTCAAAGCCAAGAAACTTAACGAACTAAGCCACCGCTCTATATGTGTCATGTCCATATTTTTAACTTGGTTATTAATATTGTAAGGATTTGATCGAACGCTTCTGACACAGACACATAAAGTCGTATTATTTTATATTTAAATTACTTTATAATGCAAAAATTGGTTTAATAAATAAAAAGTATATCATTTCAGTACTTATATATATATATATATAACTATTTTATAAAACGACAATAAATAGTACCGGAATCTGCACTCAAACATTCCACAGAATGTTCACAATTTAGATGTTTATTACTTTTTGGATTTTCAACAACTTTTGTCAACTCAAGAAGATCAGGCAGACGAATAGAAGCTTTATACTTTTTACGTTGACCAGTGTTTGAATCGTAGGTGAATCTAAGCAATTGAATGCATAACAATGGTGGAGCACGTGTTATATAGGCTCTTCTAATACCATCTCGTTTACAACCACACTGTGAACAAGCATACTGATTATCGCCAACTAATTGTTCTTCCTATAGAAAACAATAAATATGATGAATTCAGTAGACGGAAAAACAGCCAACGATGACGACATTGAACTAATAAATTAAAACAATGAGATCAGAAAATAGGCAATCGAGGAGAGATTAACTTTACATGAACATTCATTCATCCATGAGAAAATATGCACATACTCATGGAGGGCCATCATTTTTTAAAAGTTTATAACCATTCATGATGGATTCGGTATAAAGAGCTTTTTGAGGTAATCTAAGTGGAAAGCCTCAATATTAATCAATGATAAAAACCGATTTCACTCGTTATTTGGAATCCTCATCTAAACCAACGTAGGACTTCTTTAAAAAGGACATATTCAGATGAAAACCGTGAATATCTTCAAGTTACACAATAACAACAATATTTGGTTTGTTCAGTATCATAAGTCTAAATACACAAAAAGATTTTCAGCAGAAAATATGCAAAATTGCAACCAAATTCCCGTTTTATAAGCATTAAGTCTGTGAATATTAAAAAATATGTATAAAAAGTCTTTAAACATCCATCAGAATGTAATTATATTCAATCACATATGTCTATGATCAGTCTTGCCTCATCGTACCTCTTTTTTCATCGCTGAATACACTTGGCGTACGAATTCCATGATAATCATCTCTCGTTTCTGCGAATAACAGGGGGAATGGAACATAGTGGAATGCGTTATCCGCAAATCCGGAAGTTCTTGGATCCGCATTGCTGAGGAGTCACAAACTAGAACGATACAGCTGCACTATTGTCTTATTTCGATACATTTTTACTGAACTAATAACAAGATATAATAAAGAGCAATCCATATATATATGCTAGCAACCTTGTAGAGTACATGGAATATGATAGATTCCTAAAAAAAGACATCAATAGGGTATACTTTCGAAAGAATGAACTTTATGCTTTTTGTACAAAAGAATCTTAATTAGCAATCAGAGGATGACTTTACTTGACCCATGAATTTAATCACTGCCAACTTAAAGTGTTTATATATGTAGCTAAGATAAAATAAACATCACCTTTAAATAATCCCGTATACAATCTGGAAGTGACTTTGAAGAAACTTTCAATGATAGTTCTAAAAACTTTGAAGGTAACCGAGATGTGAAACCGCATTTCAGACAGCTAAAAGCAAAAATAAGTATAGAGAGAAAAGATCTAATTGGCTAAAGTAAATATCATACAAACGACGTTATGGAAAGATCAGTTGGAAGCGTTAAATACACAATATAAAGCTTAATAACAGGGGTGGCGAAGTTAGAAACTTACTGATCATTAGTTGCATTACTTAAATACAATCATAGAAGCTTAAGTGGTGATAACGTTTTTGTTTACACTTCACTTATTTTTGGAATTTTCTTGTATCACTGAAAAGTTTTCATACAACTTGGTTGCAGGATTATATTGAAAATTGCTCCAGAGCTCAGTTGACAAAAGCTTGAATCAAGGATCATTTTAAGAACAGAGAAAACCTGATCAATACAAAACGACACCAAATTCGACCAAGCATGAAAATATCTACGACAAGAATTATTAGCAATGAAACAGAATCTCGGTAACCTAAAAAAAATACAAGTTATTGACAAACATAGGAACAAAAATCAAACCAATGGTAGATACAACCAAAACAAAGAAGTAAACAATGACAAGTTTAAGGTCGACAAAAAACAATCAACACCTAGGTGTACAGGACAAGCTCTGAACCATATGTAGAGAAATTCGAACACTTCACTCCTACCTGAAGTTTGTGCAGATGCTGTCGTTCAGAAGTACTATGAAAGTTCCACGACCAAACCATCCAGATCAGAGAACAAAACTCCATAAAAATCATCCACCTTGGCTACAAATCTTCTCCACCATCTCAAATTATTAGCAATAATTCAGTGATAATCTGAGAAGCAGCAAAAATGACCGTCGGAAATCCTTCAGTGCCATTAGAAATTTAGAACTAAGTAACCAGCAGAATAACTTTGTCAAAAGATGTCTAAATTATGTAGACTAGAGGATGTAACAACAAAAGAACGAATTGAACATCAATTAAAGAGGCGTTACACCAAGCAGTATTCCCATTTACGCATTTGTGAACATAGATTAATAATCAAACTCCAAGAAATATTATCCGTATTGACAACCACGCACAAACGTTTGGGCAGCAAGATATCACAGATTTTGCATAGTAAAACCAAAAATGATAGAGAAACGATAAGAACGTCGAATATAATAAATAACTTCAAATTAATCTCCGATCAATCAGTATGATGACTTGAACTACCTATCAACAAACTATTTGGAAATAAACCGTTTCCCGAGAATTGGACCCGAACAAGCTTGAAAAGGATTTTTCAAGACGCTACCCCGAATTTTTAAAACATTCTTACATAGCTAAACTCCGGGCATCGAAAGTTGTATCTCTAAGGTCTGGTTTTCAAGATCATCATTAAATTTCTAAGAATACCTACATGTTTCTCACTGTAATATTGTCGACAGGGTGGTAATAAAACGCCTGATTTATTTGTGTTCTCAATTTTTAGGGGCTGGGTCAGAGAGTTAATTGGACAGTAGTGCAAGGTTCGGCTGAAAATTATATGCGTCATCATATCATTATTTCAAACTCAATAGTCTCCAACTAGGTCATAACAGATACAGTAAAAGTTAATCAAGAACAGGATAAAAGACCGTTCTAAAGAAACAGACGATGAAAATGCAGACACACATGAACATTAATAAAACTTCTGAGGTCAGCCAATCAGAAATAATATTATTGAGGCAAATTGATTTGATAATTGTGCAGAATTTCCTAAAACCTGCTTCTATTAGAGATTGGTATTGATGATATTATCTAAACTAAAGAAAACTTAACAACCAAAATTTTCAGGTTAAACGTTGACGTATAATGTAAAAATTATATTCCATTCAACCCTGATGTTCATTAAATATAAACTTCATCAGGCATTGCTATAATGTCCTTACATTCAATTACCACCTTCGAACTGTAAATTAATGTTAAAGGATAAGTGAAAGCTTGTGTTTGTAGTCAGCTTCAGCCACAAATAACTGGAGGTGGTCAAAAGGTTTGAGTGTCTGGATAAACGTACGTGCTGATAATTTATATCAGGTGAAGTCACAAAGGCATATGATAATTAAGACTATATTTAATCCTGTCTGAAAATTACTTTGGATGTAAAACATTGGGTTAGAAATGAACTTAGTTCTGAACGCTTATGAGACAGTGTTTCAAAATTGTTGTTCGATAGGTTTTATTTTCAATTACCACAGCCCCAATATTATTTTTGATGCTTTTACACATACATATATCAACACGAAACTGAGTAAGAATCAAGACAGCACGTTACTAAAACAGTAGCAATTACAGCAGATATTAATAGTAGAATAGTATTCAAATAAACTGAATGAGGCGTGTTTAAGTACAAAGGAAAGAAAAGAAACAAATTGGTGCGATTCCCGAAGTTCATGGAAAATAAGGATGGATTCGTATTGAGTTTCCATCATGCCGTTTAGGATCTTTAACCATTAATGCCAAACCAACTGCTGGTCCCAATCCAGAAACTTAAACAATAACTGTATGGGTAATAAAAAATCGACTACTAACTCTGAGAAATTCAAAGACACTAAACAACTTAGTTGTTTCGATTCAGTAACTATTCTACTTTCACAACGCTAACACCAGACTCATAATGTTTACCTTACAATTGAGCCACATAGCACAGAGAACGAAAACTTTGACAAATTCATCCACCCAGGCAACAACTTTTCTCCTCCATTTCAATACTTTACCATTTCACCAAGAAAAAGTACACCATTAATCCATAGAATTGGGTCACCATAAGATTGTACACTGATTTAACAGTCTCGATAGTATAATTGTAACCTCAAATAATACATATAACATTAAATCATACGATACCTTCACAGTTCTGACTGTAGTTTGTCGAATTATTGATTAGTAAATTTTCCAATAATGAAGGATCTTTGAAAAACAGGTAGACGTTGAGTAAAGTCGCCCAGTGGAGAACATTTCGCACAGAAATAAAGAATGCATGAAATTAAACACTTTTTAAAGAAAAATATCAACTACGCAGATCGATGATGGATAGAACAACTAACCACCAGTGCATATACTCTTTTATCCTCTTCTCTACTGCTTAAATCAATAGTGTAAACTACTATTATGAAAATTGTAGTGTTTGAATAGAAACAATAGATTGTAGTTAGACGAAATGACAATCTGTTAAGTGTGTACTTCTTTCATGATAGTTTGGTCAGTAATCAGGAAAATATTTGTTATTTGAAGCAAAAGAAATAGGTAAAACGACAGATGGATTATAAGAAAAAAAGCATGCACACAACTGAGGAGGAGAAGGATATCAACTTTGAAATCCTTTTGTTTTTTTAAAAAGGATAAGTATGACATCAATAAGATAGATTTCGTTTTGTCAACGAAGTGATATACATGAATATTGACAGTTTGACATAATTATTTAGTATCTACTACTTCGAATAAAATTCAGCTGTAAAAAATCTGGGAAAAGTTTTACTAAAAAAGAATGATTTTGTAATTAGATACATATACTTCTATCAAGAAATGAATATAGAGGGAAAGAAATCTTTGTGATTAAGGAAGGGAACAATTATAGCTAGTTAGATGAACTTTAGGAAGTTTATTAAGTCAATGACAGCTTTGTTATTTCACGAATAAAAACAACCGTTTTCGTTTAGTCATGATAAACATTACAACTGAAAAATCGGTCATAGATAAAGTTTTCCTTACTTTCCGTCTGTGAAACCTTCTACTCTTAAACAACCAAGAACTAAGAAATACCTACAAGACAAGAAAGCTATCTAGGGTTGACAGTAATATAAAAGGGTTTTCCATAATCGAAGACGATTATATGCATCAACAAATAAACATTGACAGCTTCGAAATGAAATATTTATGAAGTTTCAAGGGGAAACTGTGACCAAGTAGCAACGAAGATAGTTACTCTTCAATGTCATTGGATGTTAGTCAAGTTATATTAGAAATTGACTGAACCTGATAAATTTTGGATCACAACTCAACGGCGAAATGGTACAGGTCAACTGTGGGAGTTATAGACTTCCTTTAAGGGAGCCTGAGAATTAACAACCTTCCAATGCTTCCTGCTCTACAATAATTTTCCCAACTATCAGTGTATGAAGAGAATTAACAAATGCAATAAACTTAGTGTTACCACCACTGTTGCTATTACTATTACGAATACTAATACTGATTCAGTCTGCGTAGTCATTGAGGAATAAGCCATAACAGTGAAATACTGATGTATCACTCACCTATTTTCATAAATATATTCTCCTCTAATCAAGTCGTCAATAACAGATACACCAACTTGCTGGAAACGTGCTTCTAATAAATTCATAAATAAACAATGGAACTCAGGAGCATCCTGAAAAAATTAACACAATTATTTAAAAATGCAGCAAATTCGTTGTTTGGAAGAATTTAAATAAGAAATTATTGCGTTACTGCATGAACGAAAATTATACTGTGAATTGTCAGTAATGTCTTATGCGATTAAAATCAGCATGTATATACCGCAAACACGTATTTTCTTACTTGTTGCTCTGTATCACACAACCGCAATGCTTCAATCAAACCTCCTGGATCAACAATACTAAGAAATGAAAAAAAAATACAAGGTGAGTGGTAATTAATGTCAATCACTAATAAAATGAATAACACAATGCCTACAATGTCTAAAAAAAGGAGGAAGTTGAAGTTGATAACTTCAGTGTTTGAATAATTAATAGCTTATGAAGAGTTGTTCAATTTCAAACAAGAAACAATGTCGACTACATATATAAACAATAAAAAAGGAGAAATATTGAAGTAGGATTTGCCAACACTTTGACTGCCATTGACCTCATTCTAAACAATTCTATTAGTAGTGGTTATAGATACATTTGTAAACTCATAGTTGCACATCAGTTCCTTTAAATGGACAGTTAATTGTTGAAGAATAAAAGCCTAATCGAAATTTGTTATATTTATTAGATGTGTATTTACGATTTTTGAACTACTTATGACACAACGTATAATTACCGCCAACTAGAAAGATGATGGGGTCCCATAAAATCGAGTAGAAGCGAAGCAAGCAGGTGATAGTGATAATAAAATGTTTAACGTCCGAATCAAATATTTCTGTTTTCACCCTGGATTTTTCCAACTTAAAATCCACCAGTTACAAATATCAGAATCTAAAAAGTGGAATGTACAAACATACTTTGTGTCGATATACATACACACACATATTTAAATATGTGTTAAAACAGAGAGAAATCGCTTCAAAGTAATCTGAATAAACAAATTTACCCTGAATTGTTTAACTGAAGTTGACTGAATATTAATTGTAGCTGGTGTATTATACCGGTTTCGTCAGCTGTAAAATAGGATAAACAAGTAAACAAGTCAATTGGTACTGGATAAAACACGAAGACAGTTTATTTTTATCACCGATTGATATCGTCCATGAGACCATAGAAAATAAAAAAAGCATTGAAAGGTTTGTTTATTGTTGTTTAAAGAGTCTGGTTTTCCATAGTTTTTCTACTAATGTCTATCTCTAAATTTTAAAAATCTGCGTAAATAATATTGTATAAAAGTGTTTTTATTATTTACGGCTGATATGTTCAAAATAATTAATTTCATACCTTGAAATTGTCACCAGCTACGAATCAAATATCCCGATGCAGATGAAAACTATTACTTTATCTCCTAATTCCTAATTAATTTTGACCAAACAACCAACTATAGATACATCTAGTATGAGTGGATCTACAAAAGGAAAGGGTTCCCTTTTGTATGGAGCTGAAGATATGGATAAACGATTTTATTTAAACAAATCATAGGTAGACTAAGGTTATAATAGCTCGGTCAGTAATAATGGGAAACTTGAAACTCGACCTAAGTAATTATTGAGATATTTCAAACAAAACAAGTGGACAGTATAAAACACTGGGGTTACTAATGCACAGAACTTTATGAATAAATAACCCACCTTGTGATGGGATATCATATATTGCTTTTCGAAGTTCCTTGAACCGAAAATAAAGCTGCAAAAATGCATTTAAGTAACACGTACTCCCATAATTCTTCAAACCATTACGGCTATGCTAAATGTTTAAAACAGAAGAACATTGACAGGAAAAAATACATTAAAGATGCATATTATTTCACACTCCAGTTTATTTTAATCAGAGCCAAGATAAGAACGTGAGTTTTGTAGTAAGCTTCAAGGTCTTACCAAAAGAATCAACTCGGAACTTATTCACAGAAAAGTATGGATATGAAATATGGCGCGACCTCGAATGGATTTTTAAAGTATTATGTACGGTCAGCTTATGTGCATGAATCAATGTGTGGAATGAAAAATAGATTAAAATACCAGAATGATTAGATGCGTATACATTTGGCAATAACATAAAATTGTAATTCAGCAACATCTTACAAAGTTGTTAACTAAATTAGGATGTATTTACTGTGAGAACCAGTGTTATCATCTGACTTTCTGAATTTATTAATTGTAGCAAATACAGGCAAAATATGCAGGAGGAAATTAAAAGGGACAGGACTTTAAACAAGGAGGAAGCCTGCACACTACAACCGTCGGATGCCGGCCCAGTGGTCTAGAGGTTAAGCGTTCACTTGCAAGACCGAAGGTCCTGGGCTCGAGTCCCACATGCTAGATCGTGGATGCGCACTGCTGAGGAGTACCGCAGCAGGAAGAATCGGTCGTCCAGTGCTTCCAGGGTTTTAGCGATGATCTAGCACTGGTCGATTCATGATCTCAATCAGAAAGGAGAGAATTAAATCTAAGGTGAATGAGATGCTCAAGAATTATAATGATTACACTAACATCATTCTGACTGGTTTGAAAATATATAGGTCACGGTCCCTAACTTATGATTTTAGAAAACCATTGGGCCCAGCCAAAACCCTAAATTTTCTTGAGTCAAAGGCTAAAGTGAATGACTTTATAGTGACCTTAATAACAATTGATTACTTCGTTAACAGGATTAGGCAGTATATTCGGAACTATACTTTAATCCTAACATTGTTGTTGATAAGATTCAACAACACCTGAAAAACACTGTGAAGTTGTGGCTGAATACTTGTAACCCATGTACACTTTATTCTTCACATCTCGGTAGTAGTTTGTTAAAAACGACTACTGTACAGTATACATTTTCTTGAATAAGCTAGACATTGTTCGAGTGCTATGAATGACGAAAGATGTTAAAAAGCAAATGTTTACTAAAAGTTCATGCTAGGATTTTGGTCAATCAAATTTTGTTGGGGCTCATAAAGTGACTAATTCATGTTATTATTATAGATTCTTCTTACAAACCAGATTTAGAAATAAGAAACAATATGATTAGTACCAATTAAGGTTTAAAAAAAGTCGCTTTATTGTTCTTAACATAGGTGTGCACTTTGACTCGCATTGCTAGTTTTGATTGAAAACATTTAAGAACCTTCTACATGATCGAACAAAACTAAGTATAGTATTTAAAGTTTTCCATAAAAATGATTAGCTATTCTTCTCAAACAGACAGGTTATAAACTATATCTAACCTTTCATTCTTTTTTTGCACAATATATACAACTTAGAGTATATTTAATAAGACTGTATATTCATCACACTACTCCAAAACGCTGGTTTTGTTTCCCAGTTTTAGTAATAGTTGAAAATATATGGGGGGTAATATCACTGACACAAATTTCTTAACTAATAATTCACACAAACAGCAACCAAGGACGTAAGAAAGGATTATTGGAACAAGTGTGTGTGAGAATCACAGGTGTTAAGCCCAGGTAACGAAAGCCTTTATTGCCAGTTATGCATAAAATATATTGGCCAAACCATACTATGTGGGAAAAAAGTACGTGTTCACTGCAAAAGCTGTAAACTGAACATTTTTAGTCAGATAGAACCTACTTTGACAATTAATGGTGGTTTTAACTGTGAATTCGCAAAACAGTAGCAACTTTTCAAATGAGTTTATTTTAGGAAGCCTACAAGGAATTATGTTAGATATAAGCACAACTTCGAACATCATGAACATAGTTTCTAGCTCGGAAGAGTTACTAGAATATCAAACAAATAAGGGGAAAGGATCTACACCCTAAGATTATGCTTTGTCGTCACATGGACTCAAAAAATTCATGTAATAATAAACTTACCGTCAGTAAATTTTCAACAGGAGACTCTGGTTCAGTTTTATCACATATTTCTTCGTTCAGTACATTTATTTTGAGTAAGCCATTTAGGCAAGAAGATAAGTATTTACATGTCGTTCTGTTGAAGAAGTGAAAGATATAATTTAGCTAATCGGGAAACGTTAGAGTACTTATTTATAGGAAAACATATCTAGATGACAAAGGTTTCTAAGAACTAGTAGTTTCACCAACGATATCTGCAGTTTTCAGCATGGAAATTTGCGAGTAACTTATGTGGTTACTTCGAGTGTAACAGTAGCAATCTACCAGGAATGTTTACAAGGATCAGACAAACTGTACGGAAAGCAATGTCACTTTTACTTATGTCTGAATTAGATCTCAGAATTAGGATATACAGGTTACGAGCTACGTCACGCATCATGATCGAATCCTTATTATCACTCAGATTGCGGTTACTACTTCAATGCTTCCATGAAGACTGCATAAATCAGGATAACCTGAACGGTTAGTGTGATAAAAGCTAACTGGCAGCATCTAAGCTCAGAAGTTTGACCCAAGTCAACATGCATTTGTGGACTATGTTAAAAACATACATCGGCCTATGACTTACTGGCAATTCCCAAAAGAACACGCAGGTTGATTAAATCTATATACTGTCCGTACAACATCTGTATTAACAATGACAGGAGCGTTTTCAACTTTGTTCCATAAACACTGAAGGTGGTGTCTCCTAAACCATGAAAAATAGTCAAAAATATGAAACAAACTCACATTACAAAACTTTCTGTCTATATTTTAGTCGTAGGGAAGATGAGTTGTCAAGAAGTACGTCGTTGTCAGGCAATTTGCTGATGTGTATGTTCAGTATTCTCCAAGAGAACAAAGGAGAAATTCTGGCTATTATTTGATGATCAAACAAAATTTGCTTACACCTGGTAACAATGAAACTATCCAGCGATAATATTGACTAATTCCTTGTATTTCTGATGCAACCTAGAAGTCCATATGAATCAAATTGTAGTGTCTCAACCAAACCAATAAGCGCGCCGACCTTCGAAGTCGAATGCAAGGTTAGTTTCGAGTGGATTAAGGAACTGAACTATTTTCTACGACCCTCGGTTGACAGACATAGCACAAAAGATCTTTCTGAGGATGGGTATTTTTAGAAGTATGTCAATGATATGAAATAATGTAGGAACAAACGGTGAATTGACTATGAAAATAAATTTTCCGTTTGATTTCGTATATTTTATCCAGGCTAACCTCGTTTAAGATATAATGGTTTTAAAATGCCGAATACCAAGATAGAAGAATCTATTTCAGACATAAATCGTGTCTACAGGTGATAAAAGGTGCAAAACGGAGGAGAAATGTGACGACTCATTTTATTTAAATCATGATTTAATATTTATGGGTGTGAAGAGCACAGGTAAACATGTAGACACATACGTGCTAACGTACACACGTATAGATTAAAGAAATATTTTAAAATATAGGGTTGTTCATATGTCTAAAATTAGGATAAGTCATTTAAGCGTTAGTAGACGGCAGTGTTAGATAATTTGTCCGCAGTTTCTGTAACAATTAAACATATTACTCACTTATTTACGCCTGTTACTCCCAATAAAGAATAGGCCGCTGACCAACATTCTCCAACCTGCTCTTTCTTGAGCCTTCCTTTCTAGTTCTATCCAATTGTTGTTCACACTTCTCATGTCTGTTTCCTGATCGTAACTGCTACCTTGAAGGCCAGAGACAAATAGGCTGTGCGCGACCGGCCTCAAACAGTTGTCCCTTGTGTTCTGTGGTCACGCTCCCAGGTCGTTAAGACCAACACTAATCCAATTTTCTTTTCAGGTTCCTCGAAAAATACCATTCCACGTTGTGGGAAGCCGGAAAGTAACATCAGCCCTCATACCCGTAACAACACACGAGACCAAGTTGGTCACATTCAAGTCCTTCCTACACCTCCTAAAAACTCTCCTATCTCCACGACTAACCAATATCACGTTCATTTTCACCTTGCACCGTTAGTGAAAACGATTCGAGTACGCGGGACTTTATTCCTGGTCTCCTGACACCACGCTCTAATCTACATATAGTAGCTTTTAACGTCCGAACACTATGCCAAATAGGACAACAAGCCTCCTAAGCTAGGACTTTAGGATCTCGCACCATCGATGTGTGCCGCGTCTCCGAAAGGCGCATCGTCACTAATTCGACTCACCATATCAAAATAAAGAACAACGCCGATCAACACTACGTGTATCTGGAAGCCCTTATCCTGCTGCCCGTAGCCTCGCTGGTGTAGTTATATCATCGACTACTAGGGCAGAACTAGCTCTCTTAGACAGAATTCAAGCGGACAGTCGCTTGTGCGCTGTCCGACTAAACGGAACAGTAAGGACTCGGAAAGATAGGGACACTCGTCATTGCCTATTCTGCCTACTCTCCCACTGACTGCAGCTCAGATGATGTAATTGATGAGTTTCACAAAAAGCTTTCCGACCTTCTCCAAAACGTTAAGCGCCTCGATGTAGTGGTAGTTACTTACTTACGTCTGTTACTCCTAATGGAGCACTGGCCACCGACTAGCATTCTCCAACCCACTCTGTTCTGGGCGTTCTTTTCCAATTCCATCCAATTATTGTTTATTTTTCTCATGTCTATCTCCGTTTCCCGGGGTAATGTGTTCTTTGGTCTTCCTCATTTCCTTTGGCCTTTAGGATTCCATGTGAGGGCTTGTCATGGGACGCAGTGCGGCGCTCTCCTCAATGTGTGTCTTATCCACTTCCAGCGCTTCTTCCTAATTTCTTCCTCCGCTGGGATCTGGTTTGTCCTTTCCTACAGTTGGTTGTTGCTAATAGTCTCCGCCAACGTATCCGAAGTATTTTGCGTAGACAACTGTTAATAAACACCAGTATCTTCTGGATGATGGCTTTCGTAGTTCTCCAGGTTTCCGCCCCATACAGTAGAACTGTCTTGATATTTGTACTGAAAATGCTGACCTTGGTGTTGGTTGACAGTGGCTTTGAGTTCCAGATGTTCTTCAGTTATAAATATGCTGCTCTTGCTTTACCGGTCCGTGCCTTCATATCTGCATCGGGTCCACCATGTTCATCAATGATGCTGCCCGAATATGTAACGGTTTTTACATCTTCCAAATCTTCTCCGTCAATTGTGACTGGATTGGTGCATGCTGTGTTGTATCGGAGAATCTTGCTTTTCCTTTTGTGTATATTGAGATCTACTGCTACACTGGTCATCTTCTCCTGCATTTGTTGTTGCGATTGCGATAGGAGGGCCAGATCATCTGCGAAGTCTAGATCGTCCAGCTGTATCCTAGATGTACACTTTATCCCGCGTTTCCCTTCAGATGTTGACGTCTTCATGATCCGGTCGATCACCAGGAGAAAGAGAAAGGGTGGGAGTAAGCAACCTTGCCTGACACCGGTCTTTACCTCGAACGAGTCTGTCAGCTTATTGTGCTTCTTGTGGCCCAGAACCTCATGACATGTTGAAGTGATTGCCTCTTTGATGCTCTTCCGGTTGCTCTCCATAGTAGTTCCTTCTCCATTGAGTAGATCATGAAAGGCCTGGAACTTATTGCTGAGGACTATCTTGAATTTGTTGAGTTTGTCAGTATCCCAGAGAAAAGCCGTATTAAACTTCTGTGATATTGTCCGCCCCGTTGTGCAGTGCTTCTTGAGTTTCAATTTGATCTTGGCGACCAGCAAGTGATGATCTGATGTTATATCAGCTCCCCTCTTGATTCTCACATCCTCTATAGTCCTCCTGAACTTTTTGATGATGCAGATATGGTCGATTTGGTTTTGCGTAGTGTGATCCGGTGAAGTCCATGTGATGTTGTGAATGCGCTTATGCGGGAATATAGTTACGCCCATGACCAGTTTATTGAAGGCACATCGGTTTGTTAAACTCTCACCATTCTCGTTCCTTTCTCCCAGTCCGTGTCGTCCATTCCAACCTTGGCATTGAAATCTCCAATCCGAGTGGTCAAGTCCTTTGTTGGACACTTCTCGACGACTGACTGCAACCTATCGTAGAATTGATCTTCATTGTAATCGTTGGTAGGCGCATAGCACTGGATGATGTTCTCTGAAATGCCCTCTTCCTTTGTTTTGAACGAGGCTTTGATGATCCTTGGTCCATGAGATTCCCATCCTATAAGTGCCTTTTGTGCTTCTTTGGACAGCATCAATGCAACTCCTTGTGTATGTGGGGCGTTTTCTTCATCATGGCCGGAGTCTAACAGAAGATCCCCTGAAGCTAGTCGTTGTTGTCCAACTTTCGTCCAATTTGTTTTACTGATCCCAAGCACCTCTAGGTTGTATCTCCTCATTTCTGCAGCAATTCGGAAGGCTATCCCGGTGTCCCACATTGTACGAGCATTCCATGTACCTAAATAAATGGTTGCTCTGGTTGTCAGAAGGGTTATCAGCATCGTGACTCCCGAAGGAACTCGGCTTTCATCATGAGGCGTCATAGTTCTTCTAAATGAAGACCTTCTGACTCCCAGGGCAGAGTTAAAAAGGTTTAAATATTTTTTCTGGTTGGCGTTTTTTAGCGGGTTAGTTTTCTACGGAATAAGGTCGCTAACCCCATGCTCAACCCTCCTCCTTTATCCGGGCTTGGGGCCTGCAGTGGCCCTCGGGGGGACTCCAGGCGGAGTTATGTAGTAGCAGTTGCTGGTGGCTCTATTGTTCAAGTTGGTACACTAAGCGCAAAGAAAAGACACCTGGGTGGATTTTATGCTATCTTGGTTCAAAGAACAAATAATGGCGACTGTCTGTTGCCGCTATGCTCAGATAACCGCCTGTTTCTTGCAAATACTAACTTTAAGCATAAGGTAAAACATATTTTGACATGGAGACCTCCTAATTCTTCCCAACGTTGGACCACACTAGATCACATCGCTATCAGCTACCGATAGAGGGGCTTGATAGAAGGCTGTCGCTCATTCTGGAGAACATGCTTAAATTCAGATCATGCTCTAGTGTGAGCGCGTATTTGTCTACGTCTTACTGTACTTAGGAAAGACGCTGCAAGGAAACTTCTTAAGGTCCTACCTAATGATAGCCAAGCTAAGAGTATATTTCAGGAACAACTAGGAAAACAGTCGGACAGCCATGAAAGTGACACTCAACCCGAGGCGTGTTATGATAATATGATATGATGTCCGAAAAGTTATGAAATCAGCAGTGATATCAGCCAGTAAGGTAAGCCATAAAGTCAGGATGAAACACTGGATCTCAGCAGCATCTACGGCACTGATAGATGCTCGGAAACTCATTCCATCTGGCATTGAACATAATGAAGAGCAGAGTCATCTTAAGCGCAAGCTGACAAGAAGTCTACGCAATGATCGTCAACAGTGGTGGGTAGCGAAAGCAAGAGAGATGGAAAAGGCAGCGGCAATAGGTAATAGCATAAAACTGTTCAGATTTGCCATGGAAATTGGTGTCGGAATCCAACTGATAGAGAAAGAATCTCATAGAAAGATGGACATATTAAACATTTTCAATCCAGGAGATTGAATCGATGGGCGGAACACTTTAGCGATCGGTTCAACTGGCCTTCAGCCACACTTCGGTTTCCCACGATCTCCAGTCAACCTGAATCGCAAGTTAATTTAGGTCCTCCGACTCTTTACAAATTTTAAAAAGCTATAAGAAATCTGAAGCGAGGGAGAGCAGCAGGCCCTGACAGGTTTACTCCTGAGACTTTTAAGGATGGTGGATCAGCATTAGCAGTGAGATTAACTGAGCTCTTAGGTAGAATTTGGAAACTGACTAGTCTCAATCACTGATTGTGCCAGTCTATAAGAAAGGAAAAAGGTCCTCTTCTGACAATCACAGAAGAATCAGTTTGACTAATATAGTGTCTAAAATATTAGCTTCAATGATACTTCGACGCCTAACCAAAGCTCGTGAAGAGCAGACTAGAGAAAACCAGGCTGGCGTTCGACCTTGACGTGGTTGTATAGACCAGGTATTCACACTACGTCAGGTCCCAGAACATAGACACAAATTCAGACGCCCCACAATCGTAGTATTTCTCGACCTTAAGGTGGCATTTGACTCTGTTGATCGTGAGGTTCTATGGCATTGCTTGTCATTGGAAGGAGTACCGAAGAACTACATTAACCTTGTAAAGGCTGTCTACTCAAACTCAACTGGCCGAGTGAGAGTTGATTACCTCAAGTGGTGTTCGTCAGGGCTGTTCACTCTCTTCATTCTTGTTTAACTTTGTCGTTGACGTGCTTTTAGAGATAACACTTCCCTCATCCAAATTTCCAGGGGTTGAACTTCTACCAGGAGATTCACTTGTTGACTTGGAATATGCCGATGACATAGTTCTATTTGGTGAAGACGCTGACAAAATTCAGAGTCTTCTGACCACTCCAAGCAACAATGCAAGCATGTTCGGGATGCGATTCTCCCCTCAAAATGCAAAATGTTGCTTCAGGATTGGGTTGCATCGACACCCGATCTAATGATAAGGAGTGAAGTAGTTGAGCGTGTCGACCGATTCACTTATCTTGGAAGTCTCATCAGCCCTCGTGGTCTGGTGTTTGACGAAATCTCAGCACGGATACAGAAGACTCGACTAACTTTTGCCAACTTGCGTCATTTATGGCGTAGGCAAGATATCCGTCTATCAACCAAAGGACAGTTTGCTGCACAGCATTTCGTTTCGTCCTATTTTATGGCAGTGAACCATGGCCGGTAAGAGTAGAGGATATTCGTAGGTTACTAGTATTTGATCATAGGTGTCTTCGAAACATTGCTGGTATATCCTGGGACTACCGAGTAAGTAATGTAGTTGTTAGGATGGCAAACCAATTGATGAAGTAGTGAGACTTCATCAGTTGAGATGGCTGGGACACGTGTTACGTATGCCCAACCACCGACTGCCATGACATGCGATGTTTCATGGTGTAGGTGTAGGATGGAAGAAAGCTAGGGGCGGCCAGACAAAAACATGGCACAAATCCATGAAGTCACTGACAAGTGGACTGAGTCATGTTGGTAAGTGTGGACTAGCTAGTTGGGATCCGCGAGATGATAACAACCGATGGTTGGAGGCCTGAATGGCATGGCTCAAAACCGTTTGCGATGATTCAGGTGCATCCACTCTTTGTGTTCTCCCAAACTCTAATCTCCTTGTCTCTTTCCAAATTGATTACACTGGATTACACTCTTTAAATAACATCTTCAAACCTTGGTCTTTTCGATTACTGCTTACACTCTTACCGTCTTTACCAATACGGGATTTGAATCGACAACTGCATCTCTGTGTTAATGTGGTGTAGCAACTCGAACTGATGTAAGCACGTACGAAGTTCTATGTTGTTGATGACTGACTTTTATGAACAGATTCTGTTTTGTCGAGTCTCACAAACCCATCGCATGAATGTGATTTAATGGGGACTGCGGTTACACGGCTCTTTGAATGAGTAGTGATATCGCACCGAAAGAAATTTGCGGATTTACTGTATATGTTAGCCTACTTGCATACTTGTTAACACACTTGGTATGCAGGTTTACATAAACTATGAGCAAATATACATTACATGCACACGAGTTTTCCCCCCATGCATCCTATAGCATACACATAGGCAAATTTACCCACTTGTGAGGGTAGACGTTCACCATTCACGAAGAAAACGTATTCGGTACACCAGACTGTCTCTTACACATATGCATTCCATTTACACCATGGCTATCACTCCAGCATTTCCTTACACACATAAGCACAAGCACTCTATCATGGGAGATTGTTTGTCGCCCCATTGCAGCATTTGCTACCACCTCTTATTATGTCTTCGACTTGATAGATACGCTACTGATTTTGTTAGATACAGGGCAGATATTTCGCAGCTCAACGTTTCGTTTTTACGAAACCAAACGTCAATACGCTTGGATTGCGTAAGTCCGATGACTTCAGCAATTCCCATACCTGAGCACACACGACGGGTAGCTCGAGCGGTAAAGTGAGCCCGAGTATACAACTCAGGATTGATCAGTTGCAACAGAGTGGGTGACCAGTCCGATCCCTGCGACTGCCCAAGTTGGCTAGCAGGGTTACCCCCACTATCCAACAACGCCACGAGGCCTTATGTCGGATAAGCTGCCAACCGATAAGTCAGTTGTTGGTTTAGAAACATGCGCATGAGGGTGGTTAGCATTGAACGTCGAAGACTTATTGGGCTATTGATTTTGGGGATTTACTTTCCGCTACAAACTGGTTTACGGAATGACGGTCTGACTTCTGGGAGAATTTGCACGTCCTTCATCTTCTCCATCGAATTTGGATCCAAACTATTACACGAACAGGCTTACAAACGTTCTTCGTCCAGCTATACTGGTTTTTCACTCGAACATGATCAAATGATGTTTGTGTCCATTTGATCTTACGATTTTAGACACGTTTACGGACGTAGCAACTCAGTATATCAACCCCTGAAAAATCGATACGAAGTATTCTTCAGAGTCCCTCAACCTGAAGAAAAATATTATATCACTGATAGAAACGGAACTAAAATCAACAGAACTGAATGGTCGATAACAACTTAACTAGGAAAAACACTTTCTTCTATACCTCGCTGGTATCCAACAACCCGCCGAAAATACCTTACTTCAAATAAACCGTGAGGTTGTCAAAACATTTACAGGGCTGATGCAAGTTGACAATTTTGAAATCTTATTCTTTTTTTACCTCGTCTGTCATGTTTTACAGCTATTCGGTTACATTTGGGATTTACGTTGTGCCGATAACGAAGAAGTCGAATTTTTAAAAAAATATGTTTAAATATTCATGTTTTTAAAAAGTAATCAAAGAATTTTAGATATCTCTGTACGTTAATTTTCTATAAAAAAGTTTTGAAAGCTTTTTGCACTGTGTGGCGTTGTACATGTGTGCATATGTACCAAGATTTTTCCCATGTTTTGCTTGCCTACGTAAAACAAGTGTGCATCGACATGCAATAACGCATTTACTTTATTTTTAAGGATGACTGGGATAGATGAAATACAGAAGAGTAAGATGAACCAAACTTATCCTTGCGCCTTTCTTATTATTTCATTACCTGTAGTACCGTGGTGTAGAAAAAGACCACTAGAAGCCTCTGGACAGAAGAAGCTATCGCAAAATTGACTAGTTATGAAAAGCCCGTTATGTTTAAACTTCTGGCTGTTCATATCCTTGAGTGATGACATTACAAAAGGGGGGGACTGAGTTGTAGCTGCCAATAAGTCCACAAAATAAGCAGCACTGTAAGCCGTTGACGATGATGCTGACCTCAATGGTCTTACTGGACACACCTTAGGTGAAACAGTCATACATCCGCACCACAGCACAATAAGGTATGTTGAGCTGCGCATCTCTTACAACTACTGGCCAGATTCGGCAAATTTCCAAATAAAGCTTCATGCTCCTTCACCGCTGAATTATGACAAGATTGTGTCGATTTCCCTTGGCCTAATAAGTGTAAAGGACGAAAGCGCAGTCAAAACCTGGATATCTGTTACATTATCGAACCTGTTATCTGAAGAATTGTCCGAACATTTAATTGATTCATTCAAGAGAAGACCAGACAAGAAAATAGAATTACTTTCAACAGAAGAATACAGGCCCTCGTGCTCTAGCACTTAATACAAAAATCCGAATCTTATGTGATGTGTTAAAACAGTCAAGGTCGACGACGTTTCCACAACGACTATTATATTACTGTCCGTTTTCAATAGCGTTTATTCCAGTTTTTTAAATACATTTGGCCCTCTGAGTTGGTTTCGTGGGTCTTGGGTTTCCGTCGAACTACTTACGTGTTGGTTTACTGACAAACGTCTTTTGTTTTGTTTTGTCGTGTTAATATTTGCGCAACTGCCATACTGGGGTTCTGGCGGCTTGTAGTGCAATGCAGGTTGACTATAAACAGCTTGAGGTTTGGCTCCACGGGAAGCTGAAACCCCTGTAAGTCTCCTCTCCACTAATAATCTTTCGTGTAATACAAAGCCGTACATTATACGGCACTGATTTTGATCTTAATGAACGTATTATTGGGGAGATACAATATAGTGCTATGTATGGCGTCATTTTAGGGAATGCCATAATACTCTCAGCTTCCTACCATTACTTCTGAGGGTCAACGTCCACCTCACTAATTCCAGGTTGAACATCTGAGAGTATTGACTGGTCAGTTTTAAAGAGTAGTTTGGAACAAAAAGTTCGAGGTCTTTTGCCAAAAATGTAGTGGATTAACTACTTATAGGTTTACTGCAACAGAATTCACATAAGTAGCCATCTTGAGCTTTTTTGAGAAATGAGACATTTGGACATTCAAAATGGGTTCTCAAATGTCTCTGGTAAGTCTGTTTTGGAGTATTCATGACAGTACACGAGTCCTCTTAGTTTCTTCAACAGTCAGTTTTTGATTAGTTGATGCGTCACTTTCTATCTTACCGGTCGAATTTTGTTCTTCCTACTAGTCACAGCACTTTATGATTGCTGAGTGCACAACTGGCTTTATGCTGTTTTTACAGTTTCTCCTGTGGGTTTTAAAAATTGCTGCTGCGGGTTGTTTTGAATTCGCCGAGCTTGTTAACATATAAAAACAAGGCTGTATTAAATCTTCACAATGCGGTTTGTCTAGTTGTTTGGTGCTAATTTCGGTATAACTTCATCTTGGCCACCACCAAGTGTTGATATGAGGTTATATCATCTTACTTTGTTCATACGTCCTCTATGAAACTTCTGAATTTTTTAAACATCCAGATGTGTTCGGTCTAGTTTTCCGTAGTGTCATCTGGTGAGGTTCATGTTGTTTTGTGGATGTGTTTATAGGGGAAAATATTGCAGTCCACGACCACGTTTGTGAAACCACACAGATCTACCGGTCTCTTGCTATTGTTGTTTCTTTTCTCCACAGTTCATACACCATAATGCCTTCATACCAAGTTTTGTCCATCTCAACCTCAACGTTTAGGTAATTCATCAAGTTAATTATTTCCTTGGCCATCTATTTACAGTAGACTCCAGGCTCATAAAACTGGTGTTCATTGTCTTCACTGCTATCACTTATGAATGGGAAACGCTAGGTGTCATTTGTCGTAATCTTCACCTTCTTGCTTCTAAAGTATGTGTTGATGATTTCAGAACCACAAGTTCCGCATTCCATAAGTGCTTTTCGTACTTCTTTAGACAGAATCATTGCAACTCTACGTGCTGGTGGCACTTTGTTATTCGTAACCAGATTAAAGTAAGAGCTCCTAAAGTTGGTTTATTTGGCACAGATTGTGTTCAATGAGTTTTACCTGTTCCAAGCACGGTCAGTTAGAATATTTTCATCTGTGTTGCTATTCGAGTGACCCTCCCTGTCTTGTTCATTGTTCGAAAATTCCACACTGACATTAATTGTTGCTCTGGTTTTTAGAAGGAGTTTTGGTCTGGTGGCTTCCAAATAATCTCAGTTTTCATCATGAAGTGTCATAAAGTTTTTATATGAAGACCCTTTAGTTCTCCGAACAAAGTTAAAATGGTGTAAATATTTTGTTCTGGCTAGGGTTTTTGTAGCGCTTTATTTACAGTAGTGGTGTGACCATCCCTATATCCAGCTCTCCTTTATCTGGCCTTGGGGCCAGCACTAACTCTGAAGGAGCTCCAGCAGGAGTCGCATCCAACGTCTGTCGGCTGGTGACTCCACCCCTCCTTCTGTGGTGTTAGGCACTTTTGAGGTGATGGCTAGATTTAACATTATGTCTTGCCCAAAGCTCTGTGTTTTACATCCTGTCAGAAAATACTCCTTTCACATGTACCATGTTAGAACCATACAACTCATGGGCTATGATTTAGACATCAATACAGTATTGTATATCAATAAGGCAAGTGTTCGACCTCATGACAAAGCGGAACTCGATTTTAAGGTTGGTAGTTTTCCAGGAAATTCATCCGTGTAAATTACGGTGCGGAACATTTCAAAAGCAATAAATCCGATGCTACTGGTAGATGAGCAGCATATCATGAGGTCTAAGCGAAGACTCATCAGGATATCTGTCTACTTGAGATAATTAGGAAATGTAGATATGTAGTATTTAAAGGAAAATGACATTTTTTGGTAATGGGAACAGGTTGTAACCCTAATGGGCTTCAGTTAAAATCGTCCATGCTGCTAGTAAGCAACAAAAGAATTCACGAACTTTTTCAATTGTTCTTATCGTTTCAGACGCGTGAGTTGATAAAGAATCATTACCCCTTTCTATGTAAGTTTGTTGAAAGCAGTAGTACTGTTAACATAAACATATTATTTCAAATGGACAGAAACTTTCGGTGCATCCCATCACAAAGTAATAGTGACATCGATACGGTCCACCACTACCGTCTTGCTGGCATTAAAAAAAAATCGGAAGTTCTGTGTTTTTGATATTGAATCTGAACTAGCTAAATGCACTTTTTAGATTGTCCAAGAGACTGGTTTCATTAATAAGTCAATACTTGAAGTTAATTGCTTGATACCACGCCTACTGAAATAACTATATCCGTATACTACTTTATTAAAACCAGGATTAATAACTATAAACTTCAGCTCACATTATTTTCAGATAATTTGAGTATTTCAGAAAATAAAAAAAGCTGTACTACGTCATTGAACAGAAGTAATTTTTATTTAGATCTATGATGGATTAAGTAGAGATTTTTAAGTTTTTTCACTAGTTAACACATTTCGATAAATTGTTTCTAAATATTTTTGAACTTTCGTTTTTAAAACTATTCCTGCAACTTGTGCACATTGTAGGTGTGTTGCTGATCCGATTCCACTTTCTCAGTATGTAATAGCCCTGATAAAAAAGGACAAAGGCGAGCAGGAACTAAGGGAAATATGTATTGACCAATTGGAAGTATTCTTGCAAGAAAATACAGCAAAGTTCGTAGAGGATTTGTTTGCTGTACTTAAATCAAGAACATATGTTGCGTGTGAAACATTAAAACAAACTCAGTCTTCGGACAACTCTTACCCAAAGGATTCTTCTGGAAAAAACCCTTGTGGAAATACTTTTGATAATGTACCAAAAGACAGGAAAAGACATTTGACAAACAATAACACTAACGTTCCAAATGCCACGGACACTTGTGCTCCCAAGCAGAAACGAAAACGCTCACCGGAGAATAAAGCAAAAAGAATTTCGTCAGATAGTCGTTCACGCAGTCCCCATTCTCCAGGAAAACCAATAAATAATGCAAGTACAACTAGCAGGCAACATGGGAAAGAACTTGAACCACATGTAGATTCCTGCAGTCGTGGACGTCATAATAACCACTCAGAAGAACCCAGCTTAAAAACAGTGGATGGTCATATCAAACGCAATTCATCAGGTTTGTAGTTAACTTTTTTTGACTACGTCTATTAGCATCAACTGTTGTCAGTGCAACCATTCATTTATTTAGGCAGCTATTTATTTAAAGTTGTAAATTCTATTTTTGTTTTAGGTAGTTCAAATGAAGAAGTAACCCATTCAAATACAATTTCATCGCGTCGGAATAAGTATAATGATTCAGAATCACATAAGTATAACAGTCGTGAACGTATCCACTCACGACACAAAGATGAGCATAGCAATCGTTCGTGTAAATCTTTTGCGAAGTCTGTCACCGATTACAGAGTAGTTGATGAAAAGTGTCGAGCTGTAAGGAACCGTCGCTGTCGTGATTTTGAAGAGCGTGGTTTTTGTGTATATGGAGACAGATGTCAGTATGACCACGGCCCGAATGCTTTGGTAATTTCGTCTGCTAAATCTGCTGTGTCCGCCATCGCTCATCTCACAAACCCTCTGTTAGATACTAATCCACTCTCAAATAGTACTGGGGATTTACCAATGAATGTTGGAAAAGAGGCATCAAAATCTAGTACACTTCAGCCTCAATCTTTTGTAGCAGCTGTTCTATCTGGACCTACTGAACTTAACGATTTAAATCAACATATTGGTACTCCTCTTATTCCTGTTTATCACCCGACTCCAAGTACGTATGTTTATTGCTTACTGTGGTGTTTAACCAAAGACCTAAAATCTACCACTAGATTTTTTTCACTGACGTAATAAAGTTTTGAAGCTACCAAATAGTTATAAAAGTGGTTTACTTGTTAGTGAAATACCAGTATACCTGATGGAAGTTGCCAAAATGTGGTAAAAGTCATATTTCCAACTCCATATACAGAATGTATTCATGTTAAAATATCAACTTATTTCCACCAATCAGTTTAGAATTTTCCCAGAGGTTAAAGACTCTTGCATTAAAATAAACTAGTGCTTGCTTTTTGAATATGTATGATTATTAGGTTGAAATGAAGACAAACTAGTTTTTTATTATTCCAATCATACTGTTACGATACACAATCGTCCTGTTTGCAAGTTATTCAGTCTTTTGTAATCCACCCAACGTAAATTATCCAATGAATCAGTGTAGTGAAGCTCTTCTCTATTTACATAAAACGAAGCGATTTAATAAGTGTATATTAACAGAAAGTAAATAGTTATAGGAAATTTTCTGATACAAATGTTAATTTTATTTAATTGAGATTTATTTTCAATGTAGTCGCATATTGTTTGTCATGATTTGAATCTAAAAAAATAATGTACTAGTTTTTAGAAATTCGGTTTATTGTCACATCACTCAGTGGTTGTAACATTGCATGCTCTTTAGTTTTTATATTGTATTACTTTAGATAGGTCGTGATGCATAAGTTAAGGTGTCACGTATCCTATTCATCTGAAATTAAAGGGCGTATGTTATCGTTGCGTACATGAGATAAGATGTACTGCTAACCATCATAGCAACAAGACGAACTAATTGTCTGTCGTCAGTATTGTGTTAAATAATGTAATAAGTCATAGAAGTTAATAATCCTCACTCATTTCAATGTAGTAGAAAGCTGACGTCATAACGATGTTATCCTGCGAAAAATATTGACTGAGATTTCTGGTACAAAAGTGGCATGAACTAATAAAATATACTAATAAACTATACCATAATGCACTCATTTTTTAAGTCCAGAGCTTAGTTTTCCAATATTTTAAGGTTTCAGTCGTGTATCTTGGCTTTGCTGCACTGTTTCGGTTTGACATAATGTATCTTTAATTTTCAGTTATTTTCCTGCATCAAACGTACATCTGCGAAAGTCTAAACGTATCCCGAGTTTGTCTTTGTTAACTTTTTGGATTGGAAAATGAATTTTATCTAGTCATGCTAGATACATTTATTGATGTTAAAATTTTGATGTTGATTATTGTGCTAATTAAATTTCATGGAGTTGATAAGATTCTGTTAGCAGGAATAATAGTGCTCTATGCGATTAAAAAGATGTATTTTGTGCGGATTATCGAAATATACTTCACGCAACCAATGGTTCAATAGTTATACCCAACTGCTGCGTAAATATTTAGCAAAAATAACAAAATCATTTTAGATGTACATGTAGCAAATTTTGTGTGAAAATTTCACATCAGTGAACATAAAGCATTAGCATAACAAATGACTTGCAAGCATCTTGGCTACATTATTATTTCGAAAAGTATTATAAATATCGAGTTTTGTAACACTTAGAATTTAGCATCAGTATGCTATTTAAGTGGCACGTTCAAATTATTTGTTAGTTAATTTGTCTATTACAGCCTAATTATTGTCGAAAAATGCAATATCCTGTGAGTCGTTGTAGCTACCAATGAGTGTTGCCAGAATAGCTCCAAGTGTGACTATATAATTGAGACAATAATAATAAAATCCTTGAAATGACATACATACTGATTTCATTTCAGTTTCAAGGCTAATGGTTTTGAAATTAAATAAAGTATATCGGTTTCTTCTACACATGTTTCCTTGTTAGCTGTGATTAATTATTGTCTTACTCTGTTCTAAGAGGTAAACTTCGGAAGTCATTGACCTTGGCTTTATGTCGGTAGTGTGGGTGTCTGTCGCTTATTGTACCTATATTGCAGTATATGTAAACGAGAAAGCACCAGTTTTAACAAAATATATGTGTTAGCGGGACATAGACTAGATTAAAGCATGCTCAATGCATGATTGCTTTGGTGCACGCTGATTGGCTAATTCTTATCCAATCAGCACTAGTCGACAGTTGGAGAATACTCTGGAATCTTCTTATGTAAAAACTATAAATATACTGACGTTTTCCCTATTGTGATTCTGACTTGCTTCTTGCTTCCATCTAACCTTGTTATTTGGAATATAATCTCCTTCCTGTTCAACCGTGTTTTGATTTTGGGACTTATCGAGTGAATCGGTGTCCAAGAATACTAAGCAATAGGAATAGCTGGGTCATTACCGTAAGAGAGAGAGAGTTATAACAGTGGCGACGGGGAAAAAGGAAAACAAATTCAAGATGCCCATATCAGATGACCAGCTTAACCGAATACTACAACAACAGCAAGCACAACTTGATGCACAAATGCGGTTGTTAGAGACCCTGACTCAACAGCTCAACATTCACAGCTCGAGTTCACATGCTATTTCAAGTACGCTTTGTGATGCAGTTGCTAGCAGCATCCCAGAATTCATCTATGATCCTAAAAGTGGAAATACTTTTCTCACGTGGTTCAAACATTGGGAAGATACATTTAGAACAGAATTCTGTAACCAAGATGATGCGTGGAAGACCCGATTGTTGGTACGTAAGTTGGGAAGCAATGAACATGCACGTTTTGCTGACCATATATTGCCAAAGTTACCTCGAGAGCTCAGTTTCGAGGAGACGGTATTTCAGTTGTCAGAGATATTCGGCGAGTCATCCTCGTTGTTTAGTATTCGATATCGGTGTCTAAATTTGGTGAAACGCGAAGCTGATGAATATGGTGTTCTAGCAGACATTGTCAACAGAGAATGTGAACGTTTCAAGTTACGCTCGTTGACGGATGACCAATTTAAATGCTTAATATTCATCAAAGCTCTTCAGTCACCACAAGATGCTGAGATTAGGACGAGACTTTTAGCTCGACTGGATCAAGACCCAAACGTCACACTCAGAACATTGACAGATGAGTGTAAGCGTCTACAAAGCATCAGACCCGACAACGAGTTGATTGAACAGGTAAATCCTAATTTAACCTGCGGTAGTGTAAATACTATTACTAGGTTAAAAGTTCAGAAGCCGGTAACAACTCGTAACAAACCAAGGACTGCGTGCTGGTTATGCGGTGATTGGCATTATGCCCGATTCTGTCCATTCAAGAAGCATAAATGTCAGGCGTGCAACAAACGTGGACATAAAGAAGGTCATTGTCCACCGAAGCGTACGTCTCAGCCTAAGAAGAAGCATAAACGTCCTCGACATGTGAAATCAGCCGAGTCCAAATCTCTTTATTTGGTAGCTGCTTTTCAAACAAACTATGACATTCAGAGAAAGTATGTTACCATCCAGATAAACGGCATATCAGCTCGTCTTCAAATTGACACAGCATCAGATATCACGTTAGTGTCTAGAGAAACGTATAACTTGCTGGGTAAACCGCCAATGAAGCCATCTAAGAAAACGGCTAAAAACGCATCAGGTGGTGTGCTAAAAATGGTTGGTGAATTACAGTGTGAATTTTCCTTCAATGGAACTAACTATACAGGAATATGTTACTTAACAGAACGGCCGAACCTTGATCTTCTTGGTCTAGATATGTTAGACAAACTTGGAATAATGGATGTACCAATTAACAGTGTCTGTAACGTATCGCGTTCATCATTGGACACCCCAGTACTTCCAAAGAAGATAGGTGATAGGTTACTAGGAAAACCGAAAAGAAAAATACGAACACATTTCGATGTCATCCGTCCTACGCCAGTTATTGAACCTCAACGAAATCTATCGATGGAGAATCAGTTTAACCGACATCATGGGGCACAAAGACGATTGTTCACGGTGGGACAAAAAGTGCTTGCTATGGACTATCGTGGGAAACATCCTATATGGACAGCTGGTCGGATCTTGAAAAAGAAGGGGAGTGTGGTTTACGAGGTGTCAGTTGGCTCGGAAGTTTGGGTACGTCATGCTAACCAATTGAAAGCAACTTCGATAGCCAGCAACAAGATTCAATTTCGATTACCTCTTGATGTTCTGCTAGACACCTTTGAAATCAAAACGCCGGGAATAGACACATCAGTTTCTGTGCAAGAAAAGAGTGATACTTCTTTATTGCCTAGACGATGGACTAATCGAAAGCACAGGCCAGTCACTCGGTTGCAGTTGGACCCTAGCACCAGATCCTACGAATCTGCTCAGATGGGAGGTGTTAGCGAGACATAGACTAGATTAAAGCATGCTCAATGCATGATTGCTTTGGTGCACGCTGATTGGCTAATTCTTATCCAATCAGCACTAGTCGACAGTTGGATAATACTCTGGAATCTTCTTATGTAAAAACTTTAAATATACTGACGTTTTCCCTATTGTGATTCTGACTTGCTTCTTGCTTCCATCTAACCTTGTTATTTGGAATATAATCTCCTTCCTGTTCAACCGTGTTTTGATTTTGGGACTTATCGAGTGAATCGGTGTCCAAGAATACTAAGCAATAGGAATAGCTGGGTCATTACCGTAAGAGAGAGAGAGAGTTATAACAATATGTAATAACCTTGCTGAAAAACTACATATGAATAATATTTACGTTCATATATACACATTATAACATTACAGTTCATAATTTCTAACAACAGTTTCTCTGCGTTGTTGTTTATAGATTCATATTATGGATAATAATAGACCCCCATTGATTGCTTTATAATCTTGATTAATTAATCATTACCTGAAAAGTAGCTCATGTTCATACTATATTGGTTGGATATTTTATGTTAACGACAGCTTGAACTCCTTGATAGATGTCCTGTCAGTTGACAACTGGTTCTGGAATTTTTTCGACTGGGACTTAATGATCGTATACGTGGGCAAATTATTTATTCGACCACGTCAATAATTCCAGCGTTTTAACAGTCGATTGTGCCGTCGTAACAGAGACCTGTTTATTTTGATCTATCAGAAAAGATCAAGAACGTTATCAGGCAAACCTTTCGTTCTACCGTATCAGTGGTTAAGAAGATATGAAAAATAGAACACTTGCCCAATGAGGAGTTGTACCACTGTCGTTTTTGGCTTTACCGATGAAACCAATGATTGCCAAGATTGGATCGGTTAGAAATGTTTCCATGTCAACATTTTTTCGGTATATGATTCCAGTTCACTAATAACTGTAAATTTTGTGCCTAATTTTACCTTTCACATATTTGGCTCGGGGAAGTTCATCGTTATCCGTTTTTGTCCTCATTAATTTGTCTTTTCTATTTAGTTAATCATCCAGATAATCAAATGTTAATGACCTGTTGCATTGATCAGTCATCGGATACTGGATTACTTCCTCAGGTTTCTAACCCTTCTGTTTTGTATAGTAAATCCAATTGGAAGCCTCCCCGTTTGCAGAATAACATGCAACAACGTTCTAATAATTTTCGCGTATTTAACAATGTCAACACTATTAGTCGAAATATAGTTCCTTTGCCAATGATTCAAAATACTAACAATAAAGATCAAACCGAAATTAATTCAGCTCCACCTGCCTATGAACCAGATCGACCACATTTGTCCATGATTTCGACGTCCGAGTCTAATATTCTACAGTCTTGCGATACTTCAGATGTAGAACATAATGCCTCTACCCCACCATTATCATATAAACCCAGTCCTATCACTGAACAAATCAGTTCATATGCTGTAGTCCCAAAAACATCAGGAGTAACAGATCTTTCTTTGGATATCACTTCTCGAACTGTTGATCCTCGTACTACTCTGTATATCGATCGTCTTCCTTGGAAACTTAATGATGCGGATAAAATTCGTGAGCATTTTGCTCAATTTGGTCATGTAATAAACGTCATTGCTAGATACAAGGGCATGGTAGGTTCCGCAGTGGTTGAGTTTTCTTCATCAGATGAAGCTGAGAAAGCCTATCGAAGCCCCATTCCTATGTTTTCAAATAGATTTATTCGAATTTACACTCGTTTTCCAGAAAACTTCAAACACAATGCTCGAAGTATGACTAGTCGTTTCCCTCGTCCCAAGGTTAGATTTTATAGTGTATTAAATTAACTGTAAAATTTTAAAAGTAGGATGTGTAATTTTTGAATTATTGTACATGTTTTAGCAGCGGTGATACAGGCTTTCATGCAGTTTGCGAATACTTTTACAAAATTTTCATTTTTACTAATCTTTTTGGTTTTTTTGCTTACAAACCCGAATTTAGTGCAAGGTCAGATAAGTTGGAAATTTATTCCACTTGATAGGTTCCTTGCAGTGGATATTCAGTGCGACTTATATGCGTATAATCATTGACTCATAAACTGATGGGTTTGATGCTTTTCATATGTGCATATTAATATTGTCGTATGTTTATTCAAGCCTGATAAAAGTCTAATTGGAAACAAAATTCTTCGATTGTATGTGCTGTTTTAACTGTTATATTGTCGTGGGCAAGTATACTGCTTGACAGTCTGCTTTCTATCATTTTATTGGTGTACAGCATGATTACTAAGAATATGGGTATATGCATAGTTCGTGGTTATTCGACTATTTATGTGTTTGAAGCATGACTCACGAATCTTTTTTTCGTTTATTTTTTTACCTAAATAATCACATATAAGTTCATGTGTTCGACTTTAAGACACTTGCAATAATACTAACTAGCTTGTCAATACGAAGATTAACTGGATTTTAAACCTGCGAATCAGTGGTTAAAGCTAGTTACCTTAACCGTTAAACCATCTCAAATATTTTAATCACTAAAATAATACGCAAACAATTACTTAAGTTGTAAACCTTCATTTAGTAAACTAGTTAGAACAGTTGTATTACATACTGAGTCAGTGCCATCTGGTGCTCACATAAATCTAATATTTATTCTTATTTGCTGAGTTATAGCGTTATTTCCCTATCTATCGTCATTTTCGTCTATATCATCCTTGACATTTCCTGTCCTAGGAAGTAGTCAAAGTGCTATTTAGGTTATTTGTGATTCATTGTTACCGAATTCTAGTGCATAATGGATTCATATAATTCCTTGGTGATACCGAGTTTCGACTCGGAGTACTAGGTAAGCGTGGCAAATCAGGTGACGAGGTAGTGATTCTTTATCGACTGAGAGCGTTGGAACATGTATTACATATACACACCATCCACTGACTACCTCAATGGGCGCTGATGGCTGGTGTTAGAATAGGTTGAAAGAATGGTAAAGGGGGTCAAACCTATGGACTAACGTTAGTCCATAAAGACATTGTTAGACTGACATATTTAGGCAAATGCAAACTACGTGATTGGAGTCTCCTTGGTCATCGTAACCAATGATTAGGGATTGTGAGTAACATTGCGCAAAATCGTTTATAGTTGTGCAATTACATTCACTCTTTGTATCTCTTTAGATCCTAAGTTTATAAATTCCGGATACACTTCCCAAAATCATTATTTCACTAATTTATATTTCCTTTTCGAATCGCACATTGGATCCTTAAACTTTTATACTATCGTTAATGCTGTTACTACCTCTGTATCTCTGGGATTTGCCCAAACAGATTCATGACTCTGTCCTAATAGAATTGGGAAACTTGGACCGATGTACACATGTGCCAAATTCTATGTCGCATTTGATTAACCGACTGTGTAGGTAGTTTAACTTATAAAACAACGTTTAGAAGTGAATTTTTCAGAAGACAATTGTTCAAATTATCGAATAAGTTTAAATAATTAGAAATGTGTTTATTCTTCAGAATCCTAAAAGATACATGTAACTTTCGTGAACCTAATTATTTTGATCTCTTTTTGTGGATGTTATAATTCTCTCTTACGGTTATAACCCAGCTATTCCTATTGCTTAGTATTCTCGGACACCGATGCACTCGACAAGTCCCCAAATCAGAACACGGTTGAACAGGAAAGAGATTATATTCCAAATAACAAGGTTAGATGGAAGTAAGAAGCACAATAGGGAAAACGTTAGTATATTTATAGTTTTTCACATGAGATTTCTAGTGTTCACTAAGTGTTGGCTAACGCTGATTAGCTAATTCTTATCCAATCAGCGTGCACCAAAGCAATCATGCATTGAGCATGATTTAATCCAATCTATGTCTCGCTAACAATGGAATATGATTTACTAATGTAACTTCACTCACTATAGAGCTATGGTTCAATGATTGATCCATTCTACTCAGTTGCAGTTTGAAATCTCGCTCCATATACTCCGGCTTAAGCATCCGGTTGGTATCACTGGCCCAAAGCCATGTGCACCAATCTGTACCTAGTAAATGAATCAGATAACTTCATTTACTGGTCAGATAATATTGCTTCAACACTCATTATATTATCTGTTTATCATTTTGATGTAATTTAGGATATTTTATTGATAAATTTCAGATTAGCCCATTGGTTGATCGTTTGTTTACCGTGTTTTAACAGAAAGCTAATTTGTAGTTGAAGCGTTTAAAATAAATGCTTTTTAATGATTTTCTTATTTTGAAACTTTTGTTACAGAGTATACTGGATCGTTTAGGAACACGACCTGTTCCTGGAAATAACAAGATTAATTCATATTCATGGATGAGTATGACGAATGACTGTATAGAAAATCAACACGTTCCTGGCAGCATTCTTCCTGATGATACCATCCAAAGGGGTAATAGATCTCGTTGGCGTTTAGAACGTAATCCAACCAGTGGAGATGCCTTATTATCGGGTGATGAAGAAGACGATTTAATTGACGAAAATCCGACCATAGATAGTCATGAACGAAATTCTGCCACTTTCATCAAAGAACGTAGTAAAGCTTTTAATCAAAGAATTGATAAAGTAGTAGATAATTATGTTGATCTTAATGCCGATCAAGAGTCATTATTATTTACTCGTAATCCTGTGAGTGTAAGATGGTTATTTTTTAAATTACTCCATTAGATCGTCAGTAGATTTGTTGCTTCTAAGTAAATGGTTGCAAATTTTAATTAGATTGGTTTTGTAGAAATGATTGTCCATTTTCTTGATTCGATTCCTTATTCGAACATCGTTGATCGTTCCGCTCATTCGAGGCTATCATAGCCTAATCTAGTTTAACAAAACGTATTACGCATGCCTAATATTTGTGATTGGTTAAGCAGGTTGTGAAATATTATTTATAAGCAAATATATCGGAAATGTGTTCTGGTTAACTTATAGAAATCTCCTGTTCTGTAAATTTACGAAACACGATTACTTAGATTCATTTTTTGTTATCTTATGCTACCATTAATCTTTTCTAACGACATAAATAATTAAATTCTTAGTTGAATTTGTTGATTTATTGTACAAGTCTAAGTTTATCAGTATTAATTGTGACACATTGTATAGATAAGCAGTTTCTAAAACCTTTACCACTTCTTAACTAAATTATAAAATTTAAGCTTCAGTTTTTCAGTGAAATCTTTTTAATAACATCCAGTTACTGCTTTAATTGAAAAACCTAATTTTATGATGACTTTCCATAAATATCTTATCCTAACTAATGGTTTATGACTCAATGAGGAAGCTGTAGCTATGAAAAGTATCGCTAAATCTGTCCACGTCTCTCGTCATTTTGCAGACATCGGATTTTATCAGTTTTATTGAATGTTATTTTCTTCACCTCTAGTTTTATATAAGTGTTTGCGATTAGTAACTAAAGGTATTATAATTTACCAATATGAATACTGAACTACACACAGACTTCGTAATCACCACACCTGGTTTGGTTTATGATTTCAGTTAGCATATTTTGTGCCCGCTCATTTTGGTCGATCAATCCTATCTCCTATTTTTACGCAGCTAACGGTTGGCATTCTGTTAAGTAAAACGCATAACAGCAGTACAGTTGGTTGGGTTTTAGGCAACTTGTTTTGTAATAGATGCATACTGTAACAGCTCAGTTTGACCATTTTATTTATTATCAAGCATTTTAAGGGTCATCTATTAGTATCATGCACCTTTTACTGCTTAATTTTTTCAAACAGTATGACAGTTTCAAAGAGTATTTGGCCACTTTAGAAGATCCGAAAAGGAAAACATGACCTTTACTCTTAAACACTGAATTGTTTTCGTTTTTTCAGGAAACTATCACTTCGGTATTATTTTGTTTTCGTGTTCTAAAGAACTTGTACATTGTAGTGTAGATCACGACATCGATTAATTCTGCTGCATTCCTGTTATATATTCATTCATTATATATTTCATTTCATTTGGTATTGTGATTGTTACCTTGATTTTGTTATCATAACTGTGCTTCATGGCGTAATGTATTGTTAATCTTCTATTTAATATTCAAACTAGTAAGGTCTTGTTTAAGTTTTACGGTAAGTATTCATCTGAAAAAAGCTTGAGTTTATCGCTTGCGAATTATTATCCGTGACTCGTATTCTAATTAGTAAGTAGAGATTCCCCATTTGTTCCACTTTTAAATGTCTTGTTTAATAAGTGCAACAATGTTGACGTGCTAATGATTATAGTTGTTTCCTTTAAAACCTCCTTGAAAAGGGTCATTACAACAATTCGGTAGGATGAATGTTTGTTATAACTGTGTGTTGCAGATTAAAGCGAAGCGTATTATCGATCGGACCAAAGACGCGAAAACACACAAGAACGGCCTACAGTTCTGATTAGCCCCGCTTCCCTGTCTAGCCCAGCCTGTTGAGTCCAGAACACAAGTCTCAGCCTCTGAGATATGAATCATGTATTTCAAACATACTCGGTTTGTATACCAATCAAGCAGACCACACCGCACCATAAAACAGAAAATAACATTTGACACGCGAAATAAGTATTGACCAGTAGGAAAATTATACCATCCCAAGTCCAAGATTAGCATTAGACTCAATAGAATAATTTTTGGGATATTTTCCTGAATATCCCAACAACGTTCATGAGTTTTTTGTGTATATGCTACTCGATAATGTAATACACACTTTTTTGTGCTTATTAGGATGTTTCGAAATTTGTATTTACTAGTGTCAAATCATAAACACATAATGATCAGATCGTTTGTTCAGTTTTCGTTGTATCTTTTCAAAGGCAATGGACTTTATTCATCGAGACCTCGTTTTGTGTTCTTTCAGGATACAGCAAGGCAATTCAATAATAGTAATAATATAACTGTTACGTCAAGTCCTTATACTTTGTCGCATAAACAAGAGGCTGAGGCAATTCTTTGGGAGCGTCGTAAAATGGCTGCATTGAGACAACGTAAAGAACAACTTATGCTTTTAGATAAGGTACTTTTCTTACGTCAAGCTAAAATAGAATTTCATCATATATTTATATCTGATTATATTTCATTTTAATAATTCAATTTCAGTGTGATTTGTTTATATGTGATATACCTGGTTATTTGATGAAAGTCAACTATTTACTTGAATGTAGAATTTATTTCGTCAAATATCCCGCATGTGAGATCGTGGATGCTCACTATTGATGTGTCCCATCGTGGGACGACGAAACGACTGTCCAATACTTCCAGGTTTTTGTCGGTGGTCTAGCTTTGATCGACTCGTGATTCCAACTGTGAAAATATTCTTTTATCACTTAATTTCATTTTAAAATGTCCATGTTTTATTTCTCTAGTCTCGTGAAGCCCGAGAATCAGTGATTGAGGCTCGAAAACAACGAATTACTAAACTGAAGTTGCTTCTTGAAAAAGTGATGAGTCAGTTGGAAAATAATCGTACTAGCGAAACAGACAATTGTACAGATTCGAAACCACTGACATTGGATGAAAGACGAAAATTACTTACTGAAGCCAAACGACTACAAACTGAGCTTGAATCGACTTTGGAAGCTGAGAAGAAAGATTTGGATATCCGAAGTTTAAACCGAGAATCAAACAGCAAAAAAATGTTCATTTCAAAACCATTAGGAAGCACAACAATTAGTGCGGCCGCATTACAAGCTTTGCCGAGTCCAATTCGATTAGAAAGACAAAAACAAATTTCTGAAGTATGTTTACATAATTTAAATTCGTTCATACAGTTGTTTTTTAAATAATTCCAATGATAATGGTAAACTTTGTCCATTTCTATAAACTACTTTTCTTGCCAACTTAACAAATAATTAACAATTGCGATTACCATAAAAAGTCATCAATGTACATTTGAGTATTTCCTTAGTGTTTTAGTTATTATTTATCATATATTAATTCATCGCTGCTTATATTTTACATATTAGATTCAAATCGAAATCGATAAATTGGAAGCAAACCTACGTGATGCAACTCAAGATGAGGTTAAATTAAAAGAAGGTCGTCGAAGGATCGTAGAACTTAAACGCCAGGTAGGGTCTTTTTGCCTCAGCTGTAAAATCTATGGACTCATTGATTCCCCTTTACTTATAGACTAGTATTTCTTCGTATTCTTCTTGGTTTCTAGATTTACACATATCGGTTTTCGTTTAGGTTAAATTCAGTGTATAATGAATTGTACCAGTTGTAGATTTTAGCTCACATTTGAAATCAGTTGTTAATAAAAATAGTTACAGATACCCAATGATAAACTTGATTATACTATTAACTTGTATTTCCGTAAACAGATTCACCTATTCCCAAAATAGAACGTAGTTTAACATTGTATCACTTCCGAAGACCATTCGACTGAATCCCTTAAATAGTTTCTTAGTGTTTTTTAAAGCCGTATATAGATCACTGTACAGTCACGCAAACATTATTACATTCGTAGCTTAATCGTAGGCTATAATTCCGCACATATTAATAAGTTCACTGACTTTGTGGATTCCATCCCGTCTTGTGCAGCTAGACTTCAAAATCATACGATCTTATTCACGGAAGGTTAACCTGACTCCTTCATTCAACCGTATTTATTGATATAAATTTTCGTTGAATATGAGTACACAAAGTACATATCTTTTTATTGATCATATTAATTATCAGGTCCTACGTTACCCAACTAACAAGCTGAAGAACGTTCTTGCCATAATCGCTAGCACTATAATCAGTTTATTTTTGAGTACCAAACAATATGGTTGTTTGTCCATATGAATTGATGTTTGAATTTTGTTAGCTAAATGTAATTCTATAGTTACACTAATTTATTTGTTTTCATCTGGTATTTTCAAACGGCTTTTTGTTTATTAGCTTGTCGACTTGGAGACAGTCCGGCCATCAGATATGTTTTTGTCTCAAAACACAAGCGGTTGTGCTCCCGGCGACAATTCCGCATACCCAAACAGAACCCAAACCAAACTTGATAAGCGACCTCGAACTTTGTATATTACTGGCATCGAACCAGATGATGTAGAAAACTTTCAAAATGCCCTTTCAGTATGTATTTTGCTCTTAAAAAATCTGTTTTCATACCAAAAAGTTTTTAATAGCATATATTATTATTACTATGCTAATATAATCACCTGTCTGGAATGTGTTTTACGCTACTGTTGAATAAAACAAATATTAAATAGAACTACTATGATGTCGAAATTTCCCGTATTCATGTAGTGTAAGATCAATGTAACTTGCTTGCGTATCACTTCTCGGATGACATCTCTATTCACACAGATGTAATAACTATATACTTATGTTCGAATATAAATTAGTCAGCAGTCTCTGAACCTAGTATTCCTTCATCGCATTTATGGCCTTGGTGTAATATTTGTGTCAGATCAGTTTTTCTTTGTTCGCATTTACAGCTCATGGTGATGGTCTGTGAGTAGTTATTTAAGCTGGAAGTTATCGAGTTCATGATTCAAGAAGTGAGTTTGTGGCGCCTTTCTTCTGCTCTTCACTATCTGCCTCTCAACACGTTAGTATTCCCGCTAGAGTATATTTGACAAATATATAACAACTAATATAAACCAGAATGCTTTATTACTATTTATGTATAAACAGTTACGCATATTACCTGTGTACATGTTCAAAAATGTGGAAATTGTGTGTTACTCCTGAAATTATCAACGACTTTCCAATTGATTCCACCAACGCAGGCACCTAGTTTCAAAGTGTGGCACATCTTACACGTAGACTGTCCTAAAAAATCAGGTGACTAAATTCAAGAACTGTAGTACTATCAAAGCTTTATTTTCACTTTTGAAATTTTAAATGCCGATCGGTTTTGACTTTTCCTGAATTTCTCATTATACTTCAAGCTAAATTACCTGCATACACAATCTTGTACAAAACAAACTAACCCTGAAACTAATCAGTTAGTACTGGAAGTTACGTTTTGCACTCGTGATTTCGCCGAGGCAGCTATTCGTCTGTTTACCCAGTTTCATGGACGTGACTTACAAATGAGTTTTGTGTATCCAGCACTGTCCGAAACCAAATCTGGGAATTTTACTGATAATGATGTAAAAAATGTAAGTTCGGTTTTAGATTATACTTTCTTCATTTATAATCATTTAATCACAAGTTGTGTAGATTCTTCAATTTTCTTTACTTATTTGTGTATTTTGACTTGCCTTATCTCGATTCTACGTCATTTAATTCATAATAGTTTAACGTATATCTCTATCATTTTTAACAACTATTAGGAAGACGATCTGGGAGGTCCCATTTAGAAAGTTAAGTAGGTAATATTTTGTCACGTTTAGTATTTCGTGACGTTTGTCATTCCATTATCATTATAATGGTCATTTAATCTATATATCCCGTATTATGAAAAATGCTTGTAGAGTATGGAATTTCACTTATTTCTTAGTTGTGTGTAAATCAAATCATTTTCTTCAGTCGAATTCCGTTCATATCTTTTTACTTTTACAACTTCAAAGGTGATTTCGTTGTTTATCCTCGATAATTAAATATATTTTAAAATAAGTGTCCATCAGAGTGTTTTGTAATAGGGTCTTATGGTTGTCATACTATTTTTCGTGGTATGGTGTGTTTTAATTTGAACATTTCATTTAACAAATCGACCGATTCGCATTACTAACCTATGTTCCTCATTATTAGGTTTCGTCCACACAAACTGAAACTTCAGACCAATTACAAGCTATCACATCTTCAGAGTCTTTGGATTATTCTGCTCATTCCAGCCCTACATCTACTACTGCTCTGAATAACATGTCCTTATGACTGACATCCAGTTCCCTATCCGAATATCGCTAGTGATTCGTGTAGAAAGAAATAACGTTCCTAATGCGATATCTTCCGACAATAACGTTTTCCTTGAGAAAAATATATTTTATTTAAAACTTTTCTACTTCAAAAGTTTTTTCATTGTTTGGCTATGTACACACTGTTTCTTAGTAACGAGTTGAGTATCAACTGATCTTAATTTCTATGAAAGTGATATAGTAGATTCTATCAATAAACCCACTATTCTCCTTTTGTATTTTATCTTAAAGATACTTCGGTACTAAATAGAGAGAAGAGAAATTCGTACGATTTGCTTTTGAATACCTCCCTGTCTGTCGGTCAGGGTTTCGGCTGGCATCTCGTGTAGTTTATTAACAGATGTGGTACTGCTTTGTTATTCTCTCTCTTCATTACTGCCAGTATTTGTGTTATTTTTATACAGATATGGTAGTACTTGAAAACAAAACTTAACATTTGTTCGAGGAGGATATTTTGGGCTAATGTATGATCGTGTAGCTAATCTGTCCACTTAAGATAGGAACTAGTGCGCTTATTTTTCAGCTTCGTGCAATGGATTCTGCAACAACATTGCCCGTATATTGTCACCCTCGTGCGCATGTTTCTAAACCAACAACTGACTTATCGGTTGGCAGCTTATCCGACATAAGGCCTCGTGGCGTTGTTGGATAGTGGGGGTAACCCTGCTAGCCAACTTGGGCAGTCGCAGGGATCGGACTGGTCACCCACTCTGTTGCAACTGATCAATCCTGAGTTGTATACTCGGGCTCACTTTACCGCTCGAGCTACCCGTCGTGTGTGCTCAGGTATGGGAATTGCTGAAGTCATCGGACTTACGCAATCCAAGCGTATTGACGTTTGGTTTCGTAAAAACGAAACGTTGAGCTGCGAAATATCTGCCCTGTATCTAACAAAATCAGTAGCGTATCTATCAAGTCGAAGACATAATAAGAGGTGGTAGCAAATGCTGCAATGGGGCGACAAACAATCTCCCATGATAGAGTGCTTGTGCTTATGTGTGTAAGGAAATGCTGGAGTGATAGCCATGGTGTAAATGGAATGCATATGTGTAAGAGACAGTCTGGTGTACCGAATACGTTTTCTTCGTGAATGGTGAACGTCTACCCTCACAAGTGGGTAAATTTGCCTATGTGTATGCTATAGGATGCATGGGGGGAAAACTCGTGTGCATGTAATGTATATTTGCTCATAGTTTATGTAAACCTGCATACCAAGTGTGTTAACAAGTATGCAAGTAGGCTAACATATACAGTAAATCCGCAAATTTCTTTCGGTGCGATATCACTACTCATTCAAAGAGCCGTGTAACCGCAGTCCCCATTAAATCACATTCATGCGATGGGTTTGTGAGACTCGACAAAACAGAATCTGTTCATAAAAGTCAGTCATCAACAACATAGAACTTCGTACGTGCTTACATCAGTTCGAGTTGCTACACCACATTAACACAGAGATGCAGTTGTCGATTCAAATCCCGTATTGGTAAAGACGGTAAGAGTGTAAGCAGTAATCGAAAAGACCAAGGTTTGAAGATGTTATTTAAAGAGTGTAATCCAGTGTAATCAATTTGGAAAGAGACAAGGAGATTAGAGTTTGGGAGAACACAAAGAGTGGATGCACCTGAATCATCGCAAACGGTTTTGAGCCATGCCATTCAGGTCTCCAACCATCGGTTGTTATCATCTCGCGGATCCCAACTAGCTAGTCCACACTTACCAACATGACTCAGTCCACTTGTCAGTGACTTCATGGATTTGTGCCATGTTTTTGTCTGGCCGCCCCTAGCTTTCTTCCATCCTACACCTACACCATGAAACATCGCATGTCATGGCAGTCGGTGGTTGGGCATACGTAACACGTGTCCCAGCCATCTCAACTGATGAAGTCTCACTACTTCATCAATTGGTTTGCCATCCTAACAACTACATTACTTACTCGGTAGTCCCAGGATATACCAGCAATGTTTCGAAGACACCTATGATCAAATACTAGTAACCTACGAATATCCTCTACTCTTACCGGCCATGGTTCACTGCCATAAAATAGGACGAAACGAAATGCTGTGCAGCAAACTGTCCTTTGGTTGATAGACGGATATCTTGCCTACGCCATAAATGACGCAAGTTGGCAAAAGTTAGTCGAGTCTTCTGTATCCGTGCTGAGATTTCGTCAAACACCAGACCACGAGGGCTGATGAGACTTCCAAGATAAGTGAATCGGTCGACACGCTCAACTACTTCACTCCTTATCATTAGATCGGGTGTCGATGCAACCCAATCCTGAAGCAACATTTTGCATTTTGAGGGGAGAATCGCATCCCGAACATGCTTGCATTGTTGCTTGGAGTGGTCAGAAGACTCTGAATTTTGTCAGCGTCTTCACCAAATAGAACTATGTCATCGGCATATTCCAAGTCAACAAGTGAATCTCCTGGTAGAAGTTCAACCCCTGGAAATTTGGATGAGGGAAGTGTTATCTCTAAAAGCACGTCAACGACAAAGTTAAACAAGAATGAAGAGAGTGAACAGCCCTGACGAACACCACTTGAGGTAATCAACTCTCACTCGGCCAGTTGAGTTTGAGTAGACAGCCTTTACAAGGTTAATGTAGTTCTTCGGTACTCCTTCCAATGACAAGCAATGCCATAGAACCTCACGATCAACAGAGTCAAATGCCACCTTAAGGTCGAGAAATACTACGATTGTGGGGCGTCTGAATTTGTGTCTATGTTCTGGGACCTGACGTAGTGTGAATACCTGGTCTATACAACCACGTCAAGGTCGAAAGCCAGCCTGGTTTTCTCTAGTCTGCTCTTCACGAGCTTTGGTTAGGCGTCGAAGTATCATTGAAGCTAATATTTTAGACACTATATTAGTCAAACTGATTCTTCTGTGATTGTCAGAAGAGGACCTTTTTCCTTTCTTATAGACTGGCACAATCAGTGATTGAGACCAGTCAGATGTGACTACGTCGAATTCGTAATAGACCACTAGGTCTTAGTAGGCTACATCTGCTGTTTGGGGTTGAAACTCTGTACGAGCTGGTAGAAATGTCATAAGTCTTAAATGGTAATAGGCACGGAAACTGATGATTAAAAATAGTATGTGTCTGATAAATTTATTGCTGTAATAATTTCTTCAAATATAGTTGGGGTGGTCAGTCTTCTGATATTAAAGCCATTCACAAACTATGTCAAACTGAGAAATGCTGGAAAACATTAATAACAAAGGTGATTCCACTTACTTGAATGTGTGAAACGAATATTCCGAGAAAAATGGGAAACATCTGCATTACTGAGTAATATCAGTACAGACCAGGTAATTGTAAACTTCTTGGTGTTATATTCTAATGTTGTGGCGGTAAATAAATTTCCATAAATAAATGATTATTTTGAGTTTTGCTCATTGATACTGGACTCACCCTAGCTGAATGCGCTAGGCCACTCAGTGTTGGGATATTCAGGGAAATATCCCAAAAATATCCTGTTAAGCCTATTGCTATCCTTGGACATGAAATGGTATCATCTTATTGGTCAATATTTATTTAACGTTTTATTTTCCTGTTGGCCATTATTGTACAATGTTATCTTCTATTTTATGGTACGTTGTGGACTGCTTGAATGGTATATAAACAAAGTATGTTTGAAATATAATGATTCATATATCCGAGGCTGTGACTTGCGTTCTGGACTCATCTGGCTGGGCTAGACAGGGAAGCGAGACCAATCAGAACCCTAGGTCGTTCTACGTGTTTGCGCGTCTTTGGTCCGATCAATAATTCGCTACCCTTAATCCGCAGCAAATATTTTTTACGTTATAACAATTGGCGACGGGGTGAAGAAAAAATACAATCTAAAGTCATTCTGTAATTGGACAAAATCCAGTCTAATTATTCAACCAATCAGTATCCAATTTGTCATCAGTGTCCCTGAACGACATTGGTCATTATTCATACAGTAATTTTCATTGCTGGTGCTGATCCAAGAAAATGACACTCCCGATCGATTACAGCTGCTCTTTGAATGACATTTGGAGTCATTAGTCAAATTCCGCTCGCAGCTGCTAAATCACTCATGCTATGAAGGCGCGACGGAAGTGGATGGATTGATATCTGAATTACACAGTGAGCTGGAAAATGACAACAGCCTCCATGAATCCTCGATTAACTGTACTTCGAACGAAACGGCAGTCATCCATGATGCGCCCAGTGGTCCAGTACTTTCCATTTCAGAAATATGCCCGTTAATGGATTCGAACTCCGGTTATCCCCGAAACAGCATGTACAGACAGCAATGTATCCAGCTCACGAGAATATCTCATTGTTTTGCCAGAAAATGTGTTTCACGCATCAACTAATAATCAAGAACCTGGCACAGTTTTGTTGGACGCGGATTACCATAACCCTAGATTGCTACTGAGTGCGCCGTGCTACGCATCCCGCCCAAAAACTAACTAGTCTAAATCATACGTTCAGCATTTCTATAAATTCCCAAATATAACTTCGGTCTCTCTAATATGACTAGGTTGACACTTTTCGATTTTATAAGTTTTTGCAAATAATAGCAATGTCAAGTCCTGAGTATCCATAACACTTTTGATCCGTATTGTCATGAGCTACTGCTTACTTTAAATGATTCGAAACCCCAGTAGCACTATACGGAAGTTTTAACTTTGGCTCTGTCTGATTGATCAGCTGACTAATGAGTGGCCAGCATCTTTGTTCATAACTTTTGAATACTGATTATCTCGAAACTTGGATGAATGTTCAAGAGATCAAGGAAATCATCACCGTATTAGTTTGATTTTGCAAGGGACAGGAGGTTAGGTTTTCTGTGTTAGTCCTTGCAGTGGTGATCTCATAGCTGTTTTAACGTTTATATAAAAGTGTCAAAAGTTGAAGCTTCAGTCGAGTGTTGAGGTGATGAATTTCATTCATTGATGATTCGATGGGGAATTCGATAGTCAGCTGACAAGTAATTTGTTTTGGACGTGCAAACATTCCTAGAGGATTCTCGCAAATTCTGTTTTTGGAATAGAAGAAAAATGAGAGCATCAGATGCAATATTATCACCAAGTTACTTAAAAACTGTAATTACGTCACCTATGGTTCTTCTATACGACAATGGATACAGACTTAGTTTTGCCTGCCGAGCATCATACGGGAGCTCAGCTATTCCGAGAATCAGCTTACCTGTTGTCCTTTAAACCGTTGTCA